TTATAGAGTATATTGCCTTACTAATCACAATATCTATATTTTTAGAGATGTTTTTCATGAACACATATATCCATACCAAGAGTCTTTTCGATAATGTTATTTCTATTCGTATAGAGAATCCTGATATTCAATATTTACCTAATTCTGAAATAGATAATTCTACTCTTCCTCATTCCTCTCATACACAAACCAATTCACTTACAATGCATGAAATAAGAAGGTCCACTAGAACACAAACCATCAGTCTGGCTTAATGATTATTACACCAATAGTGCCATTACTACTAAACCTAGTTTCATTCACCAGAGCTTATCCTTTTGATATCTACCCTTCCATTAATCCTACATACCTTGCTTTCTTGGCAAATGTGTCAAAGATTCCAGAACATTTTCTTATGCACTAGCCAAGGATGCACCTGAGTGGGTTGATGCCATGAGTAAGGAACCACATGCTTTGGCGGAAAATAATAGATGGGAGATTATTACATTACCTGTCAATAAGAAGCCTATTGGATGTAAATGAGTTTTCAAGGTAAATTATAATTCGGATGAGACAGTAGAGAAGTATAAGGCAAGATTAGTGCGAAAGGATATACATAGATAGAAGGAGAGGACTTCTTTGAATCTTCCTCTCATGTGGCCAAACTCGTAACAGTCAGAATATTACTTTCTATTACTGCAGCTAAATCATGGTCTCTTCACCAACTTGATATTAACAATGCATTCCTACATGGATACTTAGAAGAAGAAGTGTATATGGAGCCTCTACTTGGTTACAAAGTTCTTCTTCCTAATCAGGTTCACAAACTTAGGAAATCATCGTATGGTCTAAAACAGGCTTCAAGGCAGTAAAATCATGAATTTACCAAGCATCTTCAATCTCATGGCTTTATTTGTCCATCCAATGATCACTCCTTGTTTATAAAGATTGGCATAGATCATTGTGTATTCTTGGTAGTGTATGTAGATGATGTTATCATCACTGGAAACTCAGAAGCTTTGATTGAACAGACCAAGAGAGATATTCATCAGACCTTCACTATCAAGGACTTGGGAACAACCAAATACTTCTGGGGGATTGAAATTGAAAGATCCAGAGAAGAAATCATGTTAAACTAGAGGAAGTATATATTGAATATTTTGGAAAGTAATGGACTTCTAGGCTGTAAGTCTGTTTCTACTCCTATACCAAAAGATCTTAACTTGGAAGATGATAAGGGCTTGTTTGTCCAACTCTCATTTTGCCTTTTTGTCTCATTTGACCTCTTAAAATACCTCTCATACACAAAATATAATACTATCCAAACGACTTTTTAATTTACCTTTTAAAATTTATTTCAAAAATTATTTTTACACAAGTTTTATCCACAACCACCGGACCACCGTCCGTCGCCACCGTCCGCCGCCAGACAGCCAGTCCGGCGGTGGCGCGGCAACAGTGGGCGGTGCGGCGGCGCCGGTGGTGGTGTAAAAATATTATTATTTTATTTAAAATATTTCCAAATAACTTTTTAAATTTTCTCTCAAAACACGTTTAAATCACATCTCAAACTCAAACAAAAAACTAAACAAAAAATTAAAACAAACCATTGTCCATACAAATCCTAAGAGTCCAAGCTACTAAGATCCTAGTCAGTATAGACGATTGATTGGCAGGTTACTTTACTTGAATTTTACAAGGCCTAATCTCAGTCATGCAACACAACAACTGAGCCTATACTTGCAGAATCCTAAGGAGATACATTGGTAGCAGCAACCCATTTTCAACGTTATCTGAAAGGTTATCCATCTCGTGAACTTTTCTACTCTAGCAACAATGACTTATCACTTACTTCATTTTGTGATGCTGATTTGGGGAAAATGCTCTATTACAAGGTTTTCATTGACATGATACTGCATTTTCCTTGGAAATTCTCTAATTTCCTAGAAGACCAAAAAGCAGATCACTGTTTCTAGTCATCTTGTGAAGTATAATACTAGAGTATGGCCAGCACTATTTGTGAGCTTCAATTGATAGGCTACATTCTTCAAGATTTCAGGGTCAGTGTACCACTTCCCATTCCGTTCTCCTGTGACAACAAATCTACACTTTATATCACTATCAATCCAGTCTTTCATGAGAGGACTAAGCATTTAGATATTTACTGTCATATAATTTGAAATCTCTATAAGGCAGGCTTCCTTCTTCCTTTGTATGTTCAGTCACAGCTTCAACATGCAGATTTGTTTACTATAGCACTTCATTCACCTCAATTCAATTTTCTGCTATCCAAATTCAGCCTTGGTGTTGTTCATCATTCCCATCCCGAGTTTGAGGGGGGAGGGATATCACAATTTTACAGTTAAAGAATGAACTGAAGATTCCCAAGTTAGAGGAATTAGAATCAGGAGATTCACCAACTTGAACTTTTATGTAAATATGGACCAAATTGTAAATATTTTAAACAGTTGGACTCGTTTTATATAGCGATTAGAGTCGGTTAGATTAGTTGTATAGTAATTAATTGGTCCGTATTGATTAGTTGTATATATATTAGGTCAAATAGACTTAGGCCTCAAGTAATACGAATTAATCTTCAATAACACGAGTACAAATTTTACATAAAGCTTATACTCTTTTTCCATGGAACTACAAAATGGAAGCAAAATCATTCATACACTGATGAATACAAACAAGAGATTCCTCGCAATGTTTATTTATACACTGATGAGAAGGATTAATTAAACTCAATCTTGTAATTTGAAGATCCTTCAATGACATTTATAATAAAATGGTATATATTACTTTTCCTATGAATCTCAATGACATTAATTTTCTGATCTTCAATACAAAAAAAATCCTTGCTTCCTTTTGCACGTCAAATACAAATTATCACTAACGGAATCATTCATAATATAGAGAAAAAAGAAGACACAAAATTCCGTATTTACACATTTAACAACATGTTTATTGAATTCTCCAAATAAGAAAAAAAAATATAAGTGTAAGATGTAAATAAATTGAATAAAGATCATCAATAACCTCCAGCTGTGCATTCATCTCAAAAATTGAAGTGCCTAATTGTCACAATCATTACAATTTAATTCGATTATATCAATTATTTCTCTATAGGAATTTTATTTCCTAAAAAGGAAATCCATAACTACTATTCATTTTCTTTTCCGTTTGAAGTTCTTTACCGAAACATAAGAACAATGCATCTGCTCTTTTACTACCCTCCACATTGTCACGTACTTATGTTTCATTTAATTACATCTTATATATTTCCTCAAAAAGAAAATCAGATTCATTTAGTAAAATATCCAAAAATTGGGCCTTTCAAACGAGTCGAAGTTATGCAAAAAACTCTATTTACACTTGTCTTTCACCATTACTGCTAAATCTCCCAGTTCACATTCCCAGTTTTACCTCTATTTAGATAGCAATTTCTCAAGTTAATTTTCGTTGTTTTTGCCAAAGCTTTTACATTTCTTACAAGCAAGTTCGAACGTATCGCCAGACCAGATTTTCATCACCAAAGCCGTTGTTTTTCCAAAAGTATTTTGATGTCAGTCACCCCACTCTCCTAATACCAGAATTTTATCCAAGATCTTTTCATGATGGGGGAAATAAAGGTACAAAAATCACATTAGTATATTTGTTCTTAAAGATTTGGCATGTGATTTATGGTTTTGCTTTAAGTTAATTGCAAATTCATGTGCCTCTTATATATGTTGTGTTTGTAGTTTTGAATGAATTCTCGAGTCCACACACACACACACACACATCTATATACTTGGTTTCTTTATTTTTCATTTGTTGTGAAAACGGGCTTTTCAATTCTATTATTAAAAAATTAATCGATTTTTGATGTGTTATTTATTCAGTTCTTAGTCACTAATAATATTGACAGTTTTGTTGCAGTTTTGAATGAATTCTTGAGTCTGTATATCTATAATCTATGACTATGTGTGTGTGTGCGCGCGCCCCTTTTAGATTTCTTCTGTTATCGCAAAAATAAGCTTTTTTTTTTATAATTTTATTTGTTCTCACAAATAATCGATGTGTTATTTATTCAATTTTTGGTCACTGATGTAGATTAGTCTAGAAGATCTGAGTAATCCACCACAGTGGTTTGGTTAAAATTTGATTATATTCATACATTCAAGAATTTTGTGAAAATCTGATTGCATCAACACAAATTTTGATAGTTTGAGAGAATGAACTATGTGAGAGAAATATCGAAACCTATTTTTGTTTGGTTAGTGAAAAACTGAAACCTTTGTCGTTTCTTTTTCCTTTGTTTCCCTGATTAAGAAAAAAAAAAAACAAACAAAAAGGTCCAAAGAAAAACCTTTTCCCTGTGAATTTTGCGTAAAATAAGAAGCGGAGTTGTAGAATAAAAAAAGCGAACTATTTTACTATTATATTTGACAAAATAAACTTATATAAGAAAGACAAAAACCGATTTTTTAAACAACACTTAAATGATTCAATTTCATTTTTTTAATTTATTTTCTCCTTTATCTTATTTGTTTTTATTTAATATTGACTTTTCAACACTTACATTGGTTGGTACTTGGGAAGCTAAAAAGTACTCTAGAGTCTAAAAACTCTTCTAAAATCTTTAAACTAGTTTGGAAAGCATCATGATTGTACTTTGGCTGAAACACAAGTAGTAGTACGAGATTTAACCATGCCTTAAATGTGATTATTTTATAATCCTCATCTCTCCTATATGGCTTTTATATTTATTGAATTATTTGTTTATCCAGTTTGATAAAAGAAAAAAGAAAAAATAAAAAAAGAAAAACAAAAAATCTTATCAGTCACTGTCAAGTCGTCAAACACGCTTCTCTCTTTGAGTCATAAAATCAACCAAAATCTTTCAAACTTCCCCAATTTTACCAAAAACAAAACCCCAAATCCAAACCACATAGTAAATTCTCTGACATTAATGGTTTAAATAAGTAAAGACATTTATAACATTATTACAAAATTGCTTTTCCCTCTTACACAAAACTCTTGTTAGATTTCCATTTCTTTGAGGATTTTAATATTAGTATATATTATATTATTAATAATGCTTTGTAATAAAAAAGGGATCTTTGATTGGATAAGACATTAAGAACCCATATAAAAATCCGATCTTTTTAACAACGGGCTGATGAGTTTCTATTGGAAAAGAAGTAAAGAAAACGAAAAGGGGGGTCTGTTCGAAAGAGAGGAAAAGATTACGCAACAAGTGCGGAAAAGACTCCAACTTTGAAGCTTAGCCCAGTAATCAATGGCGGCTAATCTGATTGATGATGCCATATCCCAAACAGAAAATTACAAAAAAAGTGATACCCGGAAACCCTCTGATTTCAGCAGTGATTTCGAGCAAACAGACAAGAATCACCTCTTTGTTTGCAAAAACAAAAATGTGGGAGAGGAAGGATAACCATGAATTCAGTCATATTTTTCCTCCTGCTTCTTTTTTGTTTTCTGGGTTCAGTTAAAGAAACAAAAAAGGTGGGATTTTTGAGAGGATTAAGAATGATGATGATGGCAATGAAGCAAAATCCCCCAAATGAGAAAAGCATGAAGAGAGAGAGCACAAAGGGGGAAGGAGATGGAGACAGGCGTCCAGGGAGGGGTGCCACGTGGGAGGATGCCATTGGAAGCAAGTCCCTGGCTCTTCCCTCCACAACAACCCATGTATATGTCAGTGTGTGTGTGTGTGTGGGTGATGACCTATGACCCCTCCGTCGAATCCGTATTTGTAGTATTCCAACACTTTCCTTTGTTTCTCTCTCTCTAAACCTCACTTTCTATGCTCCCCTCTTTTTATCTCTCTCTCCCTATCTCTCTCTATATTTATTACTACTCTTCTTTGGGCTGCCTTTTCTTTCTCTCTCTCATATTCTCGTATTTCTCATTTCCTCATACCCTAAGAACCCACCCCCGGCTTTGCCCCCCTTTTGGCCGTCCTCTGGATATTGGGTTCTGTTTATTAGCATTAGCAAGATTGAAATTGCTGTGGAATTCTGTGTATGTTTGATCAATTTGAAACCTTGGTATGAGGTAATTTGTGTTTATGACACTGTTTTGGAAGTGAATTTTTTGTTTTATGTACTGGGGTTGTTTAATTTGAGCTGATTCTTCATTTGAGCTGATTGTTATGTATTTTCCTGTTTGCTTTGATGTGGGGTGCTAGTTGATTGTATATCCTGAGCTTCTGCTGTTGTCAAGTTTTGATTTTTTGTTTTCATCTTCCTTGCTCCCCTGTTGTTATTAGTGAAATGAGGTTGGGGCTTTGGGGAGTTGAGGTGGTTTGAATGTATCTAGTTGCTATAAATTTGTGATCTTTATGGTTTAGTTCCCTTGTGCATGGTTAATTGTTTTGTACATTTGATTGTTCTGCTTGATCACATTTGCAGTCTAGCCCAATCTGGGTTTTTCTTTTCTGAATTTGCATGTATTGAAGGTGTCTTGAATTCAGAATTCATTACTTTAATCAGTGGCTTCTGATCATGTCCTGTTCTTGTTTATCAAGTTTTGAATTTTCATCTCTGTTTTGATATGTTTTGGAAATGTAGTTTTGTAGCTTGCCTATTAGATTTGGCAGCTGAATTTTATCTTTTAGGAACATTATTTCCACTATCAGGTTTTGCATTTCGGGGAATTGTCCTGAAATGAAAGGTCCGGTCGTTATAGCTTGCTTCAGTGTTGGAATGCAATAATGGCTACATTCTTCCCTTGGATGTGATTACTTCGCTCTTCTGGATTTCTGTCAATTTGAATCTTGTTTTGTCACTGCTTTTGATGGTACTTAACTTCATGTCCATTTTGAGTAACGGCATTACTGGCATTACTATGCAAATTTTTGAAATTCCCTCTGCTTCCATTTTTACCCTGCTCTTGCAGAGGAGTTGTACTAAACGAGATTCTGGTGCATATTTGGGGTAGCAGGTTCAGAATACTTTTTTGAACTTTGATGTCAAGTAAAACTGAGCTGTTCCCTCGGGTACGAATGCCAGTGCTGTGTTTTTCTTCTAAGTTTCTTGTTGTGAAGTCTTTTTGTTACTCTGTCTTCGTGGTGGATTGGAAAGAATGTTTTACTTAATACCATTGGTTGTTTCCCTACTGTTTCTTGCATAAGAAAAATATGGAATGCAATGCTTCAGTGTTGGTGCATATAGTAACATTCATCTCACTGTTATTGTTGATCAGTTAAGGATAATGGTTCAATGGCTGGTAAGATGCTTAATGGAAACTGGGTATTGAAACGCAAACGAGGAAAGCTGCCGAGTGGCGTTAATAAAACTAAAGGCAAGGAAAGCGATCCTAAAACCTTGGAATCTCCATCAAGTACTTCATCAACACAAAAACTTAGAAGTGAAGATTTATCTGATCGTTCTTCTAGCAAGATCAAAGGAAATGATGGGGTTAGTTCCTGTATCTTGTTGATGCCTTTTCATATCTCTTAGGTGAATGATGCCTCAATGTCAAGGAGCGTGGTTGCCAAATCTCATTATACATTTTTTTGTCACTTCCTGGCCCTATGCTGACTACTATTTTGAGTCAGTGTGTTGGTCTGGTTTCAAACTAGATGCATTGAACATGTCTTCTGCTCATAAAATGTATATATGGTTTTGAACTGTTTATTTTTCTTTTACCTTTTTCGTTGTGCAGCACTTTTTTGAATGTGAAATCTGTGATCTTGGCGGAACTTTGATTTGCTGTGATAGCTGCCCAAGGACTTATCATCTCCATTGTTTGGATCCTCCTCTTAAGGTATTATTTCTATTTTATTAAGGATAGATCTTACTTTCCCTTTTCGTTTCTTGAGTATTGTTTATTGTACAATTGATGTTTGATTTGGGCATTTCTGTTTCCATTTCTGTTATCGCAAGAACGTTCCTTCTGGGAAGTGGTACTGTCCCCTCTGCATTGCTGGAAAGGAGCCACCAAAGCCCATTGATCATCTAGATACCATGTCGAGGCGTGCAAGAACAAAAATTACACTTGGGAAATCTAATACTGATAATAAAAAGTCTAATTCAGGGATCGCCGCCAGTATTGGTAAGAAAAGATCTAGCAAGGAAAAATCTTCGCCACATCTTGATGGTGCTAAGATGAATTTGGATGCGCACAATGAATTATCTAGCAGTAACAGACCACCTCGCCCATCATGTGATGATTCTGGGGAGGGAAGTTCATCAGATTCAAATGCTAATGGTGGGAAAAAACCAGAAGCTCCCCCTGCAGAATCACCAGCAGAGATTAAGTCTGATTCTCCTGCTAAGAAAGCCTTGCCCTCAATTAAGTTCGTGAGATCGAAGTTGAAAAAAGGACCTCGAGAAACAGAGCGTTATTTATCTTTGAGCAAGGGAAAACTTAGTTCTGATGATACAGTGGTAGTCACAGACCAGAAATCCAGGAAAATGACTCGTAAGCCACAGAAAAATGAGAGTAGAAAAAAGCGTCGGACTGACAAGGGCAGTGGTACGCCGGATACTTTAAAGAAACGTGGATCGCAAGAACTCTCTGCACGTAGTAGTAAATCTCAAGCGAAACATAAGATATCTGATCCTGCGGTTTCTGTTTCTCCATCTGTACAGGATGGCGAAAGACATGTTGATACCGAGCTCAAAGATGAGGTAGATATCTTGATTCTCTTATTGCTTTGTGATCCTTGAACATTCAACCTTTTCCTTGCGGCATTATTGTTGCTTGGAACATCTGCCTCATTTACAGTTTTTTTAACTTTCTTTATTTGGCTGATCTCAATATAGTAGAATGAGCCATACCATGTGGAAAGATTAATATTTGGTTTTTGTTGTTCCTTCTTTTTTTAGGCCTTTGATTTCAGTTTATTGCATGCCAAATTGTTTCCATCTACTCATTCCTACAGCCTCCTCCTTGAGCCTAATAGGAGCTGAGATGTTTCTATATTTTTCATGTTGTGATTCAGACTAATGAACGTCTTTTTGTACTCATGTTTCCATCGTGAATTACTTACCCTCCCACGATATAACTTTTGGAGTCAAAGTTCTGTTAAACTTCATGTCCTGCCTCTAAATTTTTGGCTGTATATATTTATCTTCATGTTAAGATCATCCTCTCGAATGAAGTTGGACCCTAATTGAGGGGCTAAAGTTTCACTGTTTTGATTTATGAGCATCATACCTCTCATTTAAGACTAGTGACTACATATGTCTTTGCCTTATTTAGTTAAGGGAAGAGTGTGAATAATGATTGGTATGCTCCCGCATTAGCTGGTTGGAAGTTACTATATTTATGGTGGCTTTTCTTCCATTTTCGTGGTTAGATGTGTGTTTATTCTTTTTCAAAATTGCAAAGACATTGGGGCCCTGGAAATCTCATTCACGGGTTGAATTGGCTACTTGATTAGTGTAGGACTTTTCTGGTTGCAAAATTACCATATCTGGTTTTAGCAAGCCATAGAGCAGGAAACAGAATGTGCTACTTGAATGTGTTTTCCCTTCTCAACTAAATAATTATGCTGATTGTTCTGTTCTTCGACCACTCTTTGTACACGCTACGCTTAAATGCAGGGTTTTAAGTTTTTCCTCAGTAAAGAGGCTTTATTTCTTTCCAAAAGATGATCTGTAATAGAAAGGATGGTCTGAATTAGAAAAGTGGATGATTGCATCTGAAATCAACACTTCTTTTTCCTTTTCTTTTTCGTTACAAATAGAAATCTCGGCTTTTGTCTCACTACAATATCGGCAATATAAAGATCAGTCTAAACTCAGAACATATGGAAAATTCATAAATGGAAAACATGTATAGTGATTCACATGTTTCTTAAAGAATAGTCAAGTGTTCAACTACATTTTTGTTTCCTAATTTATGCTCATGCAAGACTTGAAATTGTGAGGCCTTATTGACATGTAACCTTTGACTAGTTAGCTACATAGTTTTCCTTTTTCTATAATGCATGTCTGTCTAGTTGTACTGCATGCTGCTTCATATTGTACATTGGCTTTAGCCTGCTCTGAAAATTTGTCGAATGACACAATTATGTTGCGTTCACAATAAAGTTGTTTGAAATAGCACTGAAAAGTGTGAATCAGGTGTGAATCAAAAAAGGAAATGCTCTGACAGCGAGTTGAGTAGCATGATAATGTTGCATTAGCTAGTGTTTCAACAAATTTACTTGAAATACAACTGAAAAGTGTGAAATAGGTGTCCGAGGAGTTTCTGGATCCCAAATAAGTAGATCAGACTGTATTTCAATATCTGTCTCCCCCATCTTAGTTTTCTCCTTATCATTTTAGAAACTGCCTGTGCCTTGTAATGGCAGTAAGTTCCATGCAAGGTTTGCATCCCTTAAACAAGTAAAGCTAAAGCTGTAGAAACTTCTAGATTTAATCTATACAGCTGAAATAATTAAGTGCCCCATTTGTTTCGGGGTTCAAATTCAATGGCATGATATCATTTGAATTTTCTGTTCTTAAGTTAGTTAGGATTTTCTTATCATAAGAAGTTAGACATGATGTCACTGCAGGATTTGGTGACAGATAATTTAATTGAAATGTTCCTGCAATTATTCTAAAGCAATGACTTTCCATGAACATCATATTAAAGATGGTTTGTTCAAACAATGTTGAAGTATATTGTGATGATACCATAATTGTGTCACACATTGATGGAAAATAGTTATATAATATGTAACAGTGATTCCATTATTTTTTCCTGTTACTATGCGCTCACAACTGTACTGATTGTTTTAGTTTTACCTGGTGCAGATGGTTACCGTGGATGCTACTTGTTCATCTCCTGAATCGCAAGTTCCAGGAAAAGTTGATACTGTTGAACCATCTAAGAGCGACTTTTTTACTTCTGAAGTTCAGGAGGTACAAAGACAAGAACTTCGGCATGATTTATTTATTTATTTATTTATTTTTTGGACCTACTGAAGGCAGGTAGAAAGATGAATCTGAGTTGGCAGCTATTGACTTATATAATTACTGTATTAGGTGTTACTAGTTGACCAAGTTTTGGGTTGTCGTGTTCGAAATGATCAGACAACTGCTGGGAGTGATTTTATGATCAATTCAAATGACCTGCCTTTGGAGAACTGCACACAAGAAGATAAAACAATTGTATCTGAGCAAAATCCTGCAAATGTTCCTTCTGATGGGTCAAGTCAAGAAGTCTTAACAAAATGCTCGGTGGATTGTGAGAACCATTCGAATGTAGAAAAAGATGGTGATTCCAAAAAAGATAACTTGCAGGTGTATAGAAGATCAGTAACAAAGAAATGTAAAGAAGGAACTAACCTAACTTCACCTGGGATAGGTATCGAATCTTCTGGTTCCAAAGTTTTCAGTTCACAAGATGACTCTCTTGGCAACATGGGAGAACCAAGGAAGACAATAGGAAGATCTTCATCGGAGAACAGTGAAAGTAGCTTGGAAGGTGATGGAAAGAGTAAATTGTCAAAACCTTCTGAAACACGTACATCTGATGAGGCTGAAGGCTTAGAGAAGGCAGTCAATGACGTTTCCACAAAAGTCACTTCGAAAGAGGATAGAAAGGAGGGAACTGAAGATGGAAACAAATCCTCCAATCAAGTTGCAGTCCTCTATGAATTTCTGGTGAAATGGGTTGGTAAATCTCACATCCACAACACATGGATCCCTGAATCTGAGCTTAAAGTGCTGGCAAAAAGGAAGCTAGATAATTACAAGGCAAAATATGGGTTAGCAGCAATCAATATATGTGAGGAAAGGTGGAAACAGCCACAGAGGATTATTGCGCTAAGAGATTCCCAGGATGGTTCTCCTGAAGTTTTTGTTAAATGGATGGGCCTTCCTTATGCTGAATGCACGTGGGAAAGAATAGATGAGCCAGTGATCTGTAACTCTTCCTTCCTTATTGATAAATATCATCAGTTTGAACGTCATGCATTGGAGAAAGATGCTTCCAAGGACAATTTGAAGAAGAATGATTTACGACAGGGTGAGATAGTTACTATTACAGAGCAGCCTAAAGAACTTACTGGGGGTTCATTGTATCCTCATCAGCTGGAAGCATTGAATTGGCTTCGTATATGCTGGCATAAGTCCAAGAATGTCATACTTGCTGATGAGATGGGGCTGGGAAAGACAGTGTCAGCTTGTGCTTTTCTTTCATCATTGTACTCTGAGTTCAAGGCTTCACTTCCATGTTTGGTTTTGGTTCCTCTCTCCACAATGCCGAACTGGATGTCAGAGTTTGCATTGTGGTCCCCTAACCTTAATGTTGTCGAATACCATGGGTCTTCCAAAGCTCGGGCCATCATTAGGCAATATGAGTGGCAAATTAATGAAGATGCAGGCTCCCAGCAAAAGAACACAGCCACTTATAAATTTGATGTCCTTTTAACTACCTATGAAATGGTTCTTGCAGATGCATCTTATCTTCGTGGAATTCCTTGGGAAGTTCTTGTGGTTGATGAGGGACACCGCCTGAAGAATTCTGACAGTAAACTGTTTGGGTTACTCAATACATTTTCTTTCCAACACAGAGTGTTGCTGACTGGCACCCCCCTTCAGAATAATCTAAGCGAGATGTATAACCTTCTGAATTTTTTGCAACCAGCTTCATTTCCTTCACTTTCCTCATTTGAGGAAAAGTTTAATGATCTTACCACTGCAGAAAAGGTTGAGGAATTAAAGAAACTTGTTGCCCCACATATGTTAAGGAGGCTAAAAAAGGATGCTGTGCAGAATATCCCTCCTAAGACAGAGCGGCTTGTTCCTGTTGAGTTGTCATCTATACAAGCAGAGTACTACAAAGCAATGCTTACAAAAAACTATCAAATTTTACGGAACGTTGGTAAGGGGGTCGCTCACCAGTCAATGCTAAATATAGTAATGCAGCTAAGAAAGGTTTGCAATCATCCCTATCTCATGCCTGGAACAGAGCCTGAATCTGGGACTTTGGAGTTCCTTCATGAAATGCGCATTAAGGCTTCAGGAAAATTAACTCTGCTGCACTCTATGCTAAAGTCGTTGCATAAAGAAGGTCATAGAGTCCTCATTTTTTCACAGATGACAAAGTTACTTGATATTCTAGAAGATTACTTGACCATTGAATTTGGACCCAAGACATTTGAGAGAGTTGATGGATCTGTCTCTGTGGCTGATCGTCAGACAGCAATTGCACGTTTTAACCAAGACAAAAGTCGCTTTGTATTTTTATTATCAACTCGCTCTTGTGGCCTTGGGATCAATTTGGCTACTGCTGATACTGTCATCATCTATGATTCCGACTTCAACCCACATGCAGATATTCAAGCAATGAATAGAGCTCATCGCATTGGTCAGTCCAAAAGACTGTTGGTTTACAGGCTTTTCGTGCGTGCTAGTATTGAAGAACGCATATTGCAACTCGCCAAGAAGAAACTGATGCTTGACCAACTTTTCGTGACTAAAGGCTCGCAAAAGGAAGTGGAAGATATTATCCGCTGGGGAACTGAAGAACTTTTTGGAGATTCTGTGAGCCTGAATGGAAAAGATGGAGGTGACAATAATTGCAACAAAGATGAAACTATTGGTGAAATGGAGCATAAGCATAGAAGGAAGACTGGCAGCCTCGGGGATGTTTATAAAGATAAATGCACTGATGGAAACAACAAGATTGTGTGGGATGAAAATGCCATTCAAAAGTTACTTGATCGTTCCAATCTCGATTCAAGTTCACCTGATAATACAGAAACTGAAGCAGACAATGACATGCTCGGTTCCGTAAAGGTACTTTCTTTATGTTTGGACATCTACTTTGCATGTAGATCATTTCCAATTTCTGCATGGGGCCTTACATGTGATGCTAATGGTTTAAGAGGCGGGTACTATAACCACATTATTCTGCTATGCTTTATGTATTTAATTTATCGAGCTTGCAGTTGTACTGGAGCTTATGTTGGCTATTATTAATTGTTTGAGCAGTTGGTACACTCTCCATTTCCTCAACCCTGCACTTTTCTCCCTAACCGTATCACATCAGTACAGCCTTATAAGTCAACTATGTAGAGATTACCTTATATTATTTCCTTTCCATTCCCAAACCTACATTTTCCACTTTCTGCACTCATAGGCTCGCGTTTCTGCTTATATACATATATATGTATACACAAACACACACACACACACACACACACACACACATATATATATATATTTGTTTCTTTTAAGAAAAGAGCAGGACAATTATCTCTTGTTCTCTTATGCTGTACTGGTGCTCAATGTTTTCTGAAAAAATTTGATGTTCATCTCTTTGATTGCGTATAACTCTATTCTTCAGTGGAATGATGAGCCTACAGAAGAACAGCCTGTGACCGGATCCCTTCCGGCAGCGATTGATGACATAGACATCGAGAGCTCTGAGAAGAAAGTAGAAAATTTAATAGTTGGTGCTGAAGAAAATGACTGGGATAGGCTTCTCCGCGTGAGGTATATATGTTTATGTCTCTTAAATAGTTCAACTTTATGTCAAATGTAGTAGTTAAACATGCGCAATTAATCATATCATTCTTTAGTGCTCATATGACTCCTGAATGTACCATTATACTGGTGTAAAAGGATTATTGAGTAGCAGCTAATCCATCATAATTGTCAAGGGGACTGTTGAATGTTTGGTCACTATGTGGTCAACTCAGAGAGCTGTCTAAACCATAAATATCTTTGGGAACTTTTTCTTGACGACGAAATGAACTAGATTCATTTTTTCGGGGGTTAAGAATGAACTAGTATTCAATGCATGAATGTGAAGCAATTTTGTTTTTAAACTCTATACAGAAGCGAACCTTTAGTTGATAGAGCATGAGAGCAGTTGAATTACATTTAGAAACAGTTTGGGGTGGTGGGGGTTTCAAGCATAACTAGATTTTTTAATGCATGAATGTGGAGCAATTTTGTTTTCAAAACTTTATACAGTTGAAGTGAGGCTTTTAGTTGTTGAGAGGGAGTGTTTGTGAGACATGGGTGTGTGTAAGATAAAATAGATTGGAAAAGTTAGATTACCAAATAGGATTGCATCTAAATAGAAGAATTTAGAAATCCTCTTGGGTTATGTTTTTGCACAACTTTATTACACTCATTGAAAATGATGTTGAGTTCTTTGGAAACAAAGTTATACTTTGTAAACAAGCTGGAAAGAACTTCTAATTGTAATTGAATCCTATACAATTATATGGAGCTTTAAATTATCTAAAATATGTTCGTGTAAGAAGCCTGTGAATTCTAAATTGGCTTGCTTTTGTTTTTTATTTTGATTTCTACTTTTTTCTTCTTTTATTGGTAAGATTTTCATTTTAAATTTCACCGATAGTAGTGACTGAGTGTTTACCTTTATTTTAAAGTTCAAAATTAGCTTTCAATGGTTTCTCAAATGAATAGGAGAAGTACATATCCTTATAATAGATAATGTGACTTATTAGTTGCTTAATTTATTAATTGGCATAGATTTAATTTTCCTTTGCCATTTGTATATCCTGGTACTTGACAAAAAGGTTTTGAATGTGCTTTGCACGCAATTAGCACGATCAAAATGAAAAAGCTGAAATTTATGCCGTAAAGGCTTGAATATGGAGATTTAATTGCTTAATAGATAATGTGACTTAGTTGCTTAATTTATTAATTGGCATAGATTTAATTTTCCTTTGCCATTTGTATATCCTGGTACTTGACAAAAAGGTTTTGAATGTGCTTTGCACGCAATTAGCACGATCAAAATGAAAAAGCTGAAATTTATGCCGTAAAGGCTTGAATATGGAGATTTAATTGCTTAATAGATAATGTGACTTAGTTGCTTAATTTATTAATTGGCATAGATTTAATTTTCCTTTGCCATTTGTATACGCTGGTACTTGACAAAAAGTTTTTGAATGTGCTTTGCACGCAAATAGCACTATCAAAATGAAAAAGCTGAAATTTATGCAGTAAAGGCTTGAATTTGGAGATTTCATTTGTCTTGGTTTCTTTCATTGATACTGACATGTTTTAGCCACGATTCGGGAAATCCCTGATTTTTGATTTCCTTGGGGAAGCATACGATTTTTATAGTATGCCTTACTGTTTGGTGTTTTTGTAGGTGGGAGAAATACCAATGTGAGGAGGAAGCTGCTCTTGGACGAGGAAAACGCCAGCGGAAGGCTGTTTCTTACAGAGAAGCATATGCTTTGCATACTTCCGAAACATTGAGTGAGGTACTTGTTTGCATACTTTTCCTTTGAGGTGTCTTTTTATAATTTTCCTTTACATGTCGAAAACTGGCATAATCTGCCGATAATTTTTGACTATGATCCCTAGGTTGTTAAGATGTGCAGTCTTTGATCCTTGCGCCCCCTATATCTATTTTGATATTGTTCCTATTTTCTTGCTTTCCTCTTGTTTCTGTACTTTCCTTGCATGAAATTAAGGGACTTTGTCTCTGTGGAAAAGATAAGTGCTACTTTTATCAAACCTAAATTAAGGAGATGTTGGGCAGCAAATGTGCCACTGGCTTGTTAAAATTACCGTGCCCAAGTTATTCACCTAAGACAAGATTCATGCATATTCTCTTAGTTTTGAACTCTGGAAGTAGGTTTTTGAGGATCCTACCTTCTTCCACCCCCAAATCATAATTTTGTGCTGCCTTTTCCATGTCAGTCTCCCCTTTGCCTGGTATGGGAGGATTATACAGTTAGTCTTTTCGTGCTGGGGTGTTCTCTTGCCTTTCTACTTTCAAGAAATCTGCATGCATGAAATTAAACAACATTTCTTTTTTTTTTTTTTTTTGGTACAATGAAAGAGGCATAAGCCTAGATGCTAGAAAGTAAAACATTTCTAGGATAAGAAACACTGACAATGTCGTGCTTCAACATTTCTATTTGTTGATAGAATAAATCTGACGGAATGCATGCCTTATTTTACTTGCTGGTTCGTTAATACTCCGATGTAGTAAAATAAATTCTGTCAAACCATGCTGACTCTCTCAATTAACTCGCAGAATGGTGCAGAAGACGAGCAGCCAGAACCAGAGCCAGAGCCTGCACGGATTTACTCTGCAGCTGGACGAGCTTGGAAAGAAAAATAGTGAGTTACTGTCGCATTACAAGTACTTGTAGTTTTTATCGTCTTTATGCTGTACTAATAGATATAGGTATCTGTTGCATGATAGTGAAGTTTTCAAGCAGAGACAGACAGAAACTTACTGAATCATTCATAAAATATCCTGTTTGCTTACAGTTTCTGACTCAGATAAAAACACTCTTCAAATTCTCTGTTGCATGTTGAGATTATTTCCTTGTTCTAGGTGTTGACTGTGTGTGTTTTTTCAACAGTGCTAGACTTAGTGCAAGACAGAAAGCTCGGTTGGCTAAAGCAAAAGCCGATGAGGCAAGCGGGATTGTGGGACTCCCCAGACCAGAGGAATTTCCGCTGCCCCCTCTACGTCAAATGACCGTGTTAACTCGACCTGAAGACAAGTCCTCAGTCATTGATTTGGAAGGTCACTTGTCTGGTCAAACTCCAGGAGGAGCTAACAAAACGGTTCATGAGGATCTTCCTGTGAGACCTGCTCCTGGGCATTTACCACCTGGATCGCGACCGAATCAACAGATACAAGGCCCAAACTTGATGAGCTCTGCACCAGACAACAGCTTGTTACCTGTGTTGGGACTATATGCTCCTAATGCTAATCAAATGGAGACATATCAGAGGATGTCTGCAAAATCTTGCAGCAGACAGAGGAGGCAAGATTTTGGACCTGAATTCCCATTTCCAGCAGCTCCGACCTCTGGTTCCATGAATGTAATGGATGCCAAAGGCCGTGCGAGTATTATAGGAAGACCTAGGTTGCCAGACCTGCCGTCAGATACATCATTGCAGCAATTGAAGACGAATACCTCCAATAATTTTCTGCCAATTAATCTGGTAATTTTTCGTTCTCTCTCTTCTCCCACTGTAATAGGGAAACAATTCTAACCAATCTTGCAATTTTGGTTACTGGAATTTGCAGCCATCTGCAGCGAACAGCAAAGGAAAAGGTCGCTTGGAGGAGATTGATCATTCAAGTGCTTCTTTCTCAAATTTCCGTGAGAAGTTATTGTTGCCGAAATTACCTCTTGAAGAAAATCTGCTCCCAAGGATTCCATATGCTGCCAAGAACCTTGCTTCTGCCCCCAATGACTTGTTCCCCGGTCTCTCCTTGGGATCTAAAGTAATGGATGCTAGTTATTCTAATCCCGAGCAATCAGCCATGTCTTTGTTACCTAATGTCCCATTTCCCCCGCCAGCAACATCCAAGTATAGTCAGCAAGAGCTAGAGAGACCTCCATCATTGGGGTTGGGCCAAATGACGACTCCATTTTCATCATTTCCTGAGAGTCACAGAAAGGTTCTTGAGAACATCATGTTGAGAACAGGATCCGGATCAAACAACATGCTTAAAAAGAAATCTCGGATAGATATTTGGTCCGAAGATGAACTAGATTATCTCTGGGTTGGTGTTCGTAGACATGGACGAGGCAATTGGAATTCCATGCTTCAGGATCCAAAGCTGAAATTTTCCAAGTATAAAACTGCAGAAGATTTGATGATACGATGGGAGGAAGAACAGGCCAAGATCTTTGATGGCCCAGGATTTCCGTTTCCAAAGCCAATGAAGCTCCCCGCTGCAACAAAATCATCTTTGTTTCCAGGCATCTCTGATGGAATTATGGCACGGGCTTTGCATGGAAGCAAGTTAAGTGGACCGCCCAAGTATCAAAACCACATTACAGACATGAAATTGGGATTTGGAGACATATCGTCAGGCTTGCGGAATGAAGAACCCTCAAATAATCTTAGTCTCCATCGTGATCTCATTCCACCCCTTCCATCATGGAGTTCGGATAAGTCTTGGCCAAACTTTTCAAGTGACTTGGTAAATGGCCCTTCTGATAGACTCGTTTCTTCAACTATGAGAACTGACACGTCCTTCCTAATGAATTCATTTGGAGCAAGCAGCTTGGGCGCTCTTGGTTTGACTGGCGCTGCCAGCATTGAAATACGAAAAAGGGGAGAGGAACTGAATGCTAATAGATTGGGGAAGCTACCAACTTTTCTGGATCGGCCATCTAGTGTATTACCTGACTTGCGTAATATGCGATATGAAGAATCAACTAGATCTGCATTGGGCTCTGACTTTGGCAAGGTTCAGAATTTTGCCAATTCAAAAGGTAAACAGGTGATGGGGGAATCCAGTTCTTCAAAGAATAGTCTTCCTCACTGGCTTCGAGAGGCGGTGAATGCTCCAGCTAAACCTCCTGAGCAAAAACTACCCCCAACTGTCTCTGCGATAGCTCACTCGGTTCGCTTGTTATACGGGGAGCAGAAGTCTACAATCCCTCCATTTATCGTACCAGGGCCTCCTCCCCCTCAACCTAAGGATCCAAGGCGAAGTCTCAAGAGAAAGAAGAAACAGAGGATTCGCAAAATGAAAAAAATCAAGACAGCCGATTTGTCACCTTCTCCTGCTGTTCTTGAGTTAGTTGCCTCTTGTGATGCACCAGGTCTGCCTGGGATGGCAACTCCTAGTTTTGCTGGAAGCATGCATTTGCCTCCGAAGTCTCAGGATGAAGGGCAATCCTTGGATAAGAAGGACTCACATTTGGAAGACAAGGGTCAGAGCTCGCATTTGGAAGACAAGGGTCAGAGCTCGCAGTTGGATGACAATGATCAGAGTTCACATTTGGAAGACAAGGGTCAGGGCTCACCAGATCCATTGGGTCCAATCCAGAAGGAACGGGATGTATCTGCAAGTCCGGAATCCAGCAAAACCCAATCTGACTGTGCTGATGATCGACAGGCTGATGCATGTGAAATCTCATCAGAAGGAACTGTATCTGATCACAAGGAAAGTGATAAGGATTCATAGATGTTTTCCGGAGAGTGGAGATTGATGCAAAGTGATATTTGGTTCCTTGTAACTGCAGTCATGAACCCCCAATGTAGTCAAAAAAATTTTGTAGCCATTAAGCTTTTAGCCTTCAACCGCTCGGATGAAGCGGATAAATCAGACCAATTATAGTGTATAGCTGATGTGAACAGATTCAAATATAGGATGCTGAACTTGGGAATTTGCCGGTCATTCATGGTTGTGCTGACACCCATTTAACCTCTTGTGTATCACTCCCAGTCCCAGTTCCCATAGAAAGGGAATGAAACAATGACCACCCAATCAGCTCCTTAGAAAACATGAGGAAAACAGTATGCGACCTTGGACGTCTGCAATTAGCTAGTCATATCTGTTCAGTAGCCTCTGGTCCCTTTCTCCTGATTCAAGTGTGGTTCCGCCATGCGAAAAAGGATGGGTAAGTTGGACCTTCAAACTTTCTTTCGTATCATTCTATTTCTGGTGTTCCTGCGTTCTGCATGAAGTTATGCATACATGTAAACGTTTAGATTGAAATACTGCCCCTGAGGCACAAATGAAGATGAGTTCACAAAAAGGGTACATGCACTGGGATGTGGGCTGGCTGGGGCAAATGCTCATTGCAAATGTTACTCGGAACATATAGCATGCCTTATTGTGTTTCTACTTGTACATCATCAATTTCATTCGAGTACAGACAGATTCACTTCGGCCGCTTCCCCCAAAAAAAAAAAACCCGCAAAAAGAAAATAAAATGAAACTGGGTATAGAATTACCCATAAAGAAATCATCCTAACAACTACTTGCTTTTGCTTTTGATGTTCTTCAAGGCATAAAAAACGGCTACATTTTGTTAATTTTTGTTTCGATTCAGGCTTTGAAATCAATTATTCCAATCATAATAATACTACCTCCGTGGTTTTCAAATTTGTACTAAAAATAACACAAAATTTTAAAATCAATGTAGACTATTTTTGTAGTAACAAATAAACATTCTGTTAGATCTCAAAATCTAAATGAAAACGTATTCTTACATTGTACAATCACTATATTGAATCTACATTGCTAGAGTTTGGACAGGAAAAAGTTTGATTCTTGTTGCTGTCAATAGCACCTCAGGAAAAGAGAGTTTCTAATTTTCATACAAACAAAAACATATGTTTCCATAGCCATTGAGTGTATACCATAAGTTTCCATTTTCCAGCTCGGAAATCTGCCAATATGTGCAGGAGGAAACCAACCCAATATGAGATCATTCTTGAATAACCTGCTGCCATAAGATCAAATATACCGTCAGCACCTCTATCAACTCCTATTTGACTTGATCATCCAAGAAAATAATTTGTCATATACATGCAAGACCAGAATTACTGTCACTTTAGAAGAACACCTCAGCATGCATCATGAGAATAACCCCCTCCATACTATAATCATTTTAGGACACAAGAAGTAATAGTAATCAGTTAGACTATGCTATACACAATGATACGAAGTACTCTCTCTGTGCTAAAATTATTATTCAGTTTGAAATTTCACTTTTAATACAACTTAAACTAAAAATGAAAATTCGAACTGGAAAATAATTTCGGGGACCGAGGACTACTAAGTAAATCCTAAGATACATCTGTCATTCCAGATTGTCTTTTTCGCCAGATGTACCACACTTCAGAGTCATCCCAATTTGGAAGAAAAAACAATTCTCAGACATTCTTGCCCAAATTTCCACATGATCATCGAATCATATATAACACGTAAACTGCACAGAGCAATAATCTACTTAACAGAAAGCAGGTTTTTAAAAAACGGATTATTATGCTTTTATCCAATTTATCCACATACCAAAGCTATCATCAAACACGAGTCAGGACATGAGAAACAGGGGAATTGCCGGGGTGACAAATTGAGGGTTCAGGCGGGGGCTATCAACGGCCACTGAAATGACCTTTTCGGCCGGAGGAAACAAAGGCTGTAATTGGGTGTCGGAAGCCTTCGATTTCGCCGAGAATGAGGTGCATGTGAACTGCTAAGGCGCAGGCCCTGAATTTGGTAACCAATTGCTGGGTGTCTAGGATCTGAACCGGGTCACCTCCGCCACGGTAGTTTCAATTATTTGATCATTACCGACATATTTCACCGGCGGATTTCCATGATTCCGAATTCCGACAGCCAAAGGGAAAGAATTCCTTCTATTCCGGGAGGGTTTTGCGTGGGTTTTTCGGGGAAGAAGAAGGGGGGTTTCACGTTCAGTGTCCCAAGGGATCCTCATGGATGTCGATTGAATTTATGTTGGCGTCCGCTCTGGGGTCCTTTTGTAATTAAGGAAAACTTGAATTCTTATGTGGTAATAACAAAAAACAGTCAGGTGGTCGTCTTATAATTCTTTGTTATTATTTATTTGCCCATTAAAGAAAGAGGCCTAAATTACGAAACACCAATTATATCATGGTTCAACCACGACGATATCGTTCTTCAAAATCAACAATCACTCCACGATTGTATTTTAAAATAAAAGGCGAGATAATCCGTGATAAAATTAATTGGTCACTTTTACAAATGTGTTTGATTCGAATGACCCAATCTTTAGACCGAGATTCCCTTATAAAATACTATCAGTCAAGAGGTTAGTTTCTTGTGGAAAAACAGTCAAGAGGTTTTTCTTTTTTTGGGGGGGGGGGTAAATAAAGAAAATAAGACTAGAAGTTTTATGTAATACAGTTACTGCTATCTACTGACTCTTATTGAACTAGTAGAGCTACACAACTTGGAGCTATATCAAAAGAATATAAGCTCCTATTCTTATTATTGAGCCCCTCCTTAGCGAAGGTATCGGCGCTCAAGTTGTTATCTCTAGGTGTGTGCAAGAATTGCACGTCCCAACCGGGCTCCAAAATATCATGTATTCGTCTTTAAATAGGATCCAAGTTTTGATTCTCATCCAAACTCTCGACCATATTAATGGCCTGTTGGGAATCTGTTTCGATCATTAGTTTGGGAACTTCTTGTCACTTTGCAAATTCCAGACTAATTAGTATGGTCTCTAACTTAGCATTCTCCACAGAATTAACGCTCAAATTCTTGTACAAACCTTTCAAAATATTTCCTTACAGCCAAGTGATAAGTATAGAATTTATCTATTTTTAATATCACTTTATGCAAGATTTTGTTAATTGTTTTGGTGGGCCGAGAAGGTGCTGAACTTTAATTGTTTTATGGGCTGGAGAATTGATTGTGGCCTGATTCTGGAGCCTAAAGACAATAGACGTGGGCTGGACATTTTGCTTGAATTAAAAAAGAAGGTTAATAAAGCCCATGTTTTCCTACTTCATTTGGACCAAAGCTTTTGACCAAATTTGCTGCTCCTTTGCTGAAGTTACAACCGAGAAGAAAAGAAATCAAATTTGCATGGGCCACGTGAGCTCATTGACTGAAGTCCAAACCTACATCAAACCCAATTTTCTTTCTTGAAAAATAAACCAACGACTGAACCAAGTACTACTATTAAAGGGGGGCTTGTTCTATTATTTTGGACAGACCGGGGCGCACAAAAAGTAGCCGCCGCAGGGATTAATCCGGACCAGCGGCAGTGGACTTTACTCTTCCCGGTTCCATTTTATTTTATTTTATTTTACTTATATAATGTGTAGTAGCTAAACTCTTTAATTTACGATTTTGGATGTAGCCACCGTATTATTTAATTTAATTTAATTTATGATTGTAACTGTTTCAGTAGTTGGTATTTAATATTCTTGTTTTTATTACATGTGAGTATTTGATCAGCACTTGCATGCTTTAAAGTTGTTTAACTGAAGGAACGACGGTTGAAAATTAACACTAGTTCATGGGAATATTAAACTTAGATAGTGGACCACGATAGTAGGATACCGTCTTTGCAGCTATAGATTCTAGGGTTCTTAATGCACTCTTATAAAATTCTATAGTCACGATAGTAGTCATAGGGTTACTTTGAGTAAGAGAATTATATCATGACAGTGAATAGTTCTTAAACAAGTAAATCGTTGTGAGATTAATGAAATTCCAAAGTCATATATCTATCGATTGAATTAAGCTGAGTAGTCGGTAGGTGAACCCTTCGCCCTAGGTTTTCTTTTATTTGATTTGTTTAGATATTTTGTTAATTTTAATTCTTAGTTTTAGGTTTAGATTAGTGTTCAAATTCGATAAATTGTTAATCTAGATAATAATAAGAAATAGTTTGACCTGGTATTTGGTAACCTTCTCTGGAGGATCGACCCTGCTTGCTATTTTACTGCTAGTAATTGTATTAAGTAGGTAATTTTATATTTGACTAGTATAACGACGGCTTGTCAAATTTGGCGTCGTTCCCGGGGAAGGCAATAGCCAATATTGAAACTAGATTATTTCTTTTTCTAGATTGTTGATATTGTCCTTCATTTTATTAATTTTTTTAATTCTCTTTTCTTTCTTGTGTGAACATTTTTGTAGGATTTTGGAGTTATCATAGAGAATTTTAACTATGGATATGGAGAGATTTCGTATTATGGTTATAATTCTGATTATAGAGACTATCCTACATATCAAGAAGATCCATACTCTTGGAATAATTCCTCTTATGATCCTTACTATGGGTGTGATTATCCAGGATATTCATTTGATAGTATAATTTTGGTTTTGAGAGTCCCCATATGAGTTCTAATATGTTGTCTCGTTTGGAGGGAGTTGAAAAATTGCTGATTGACAACAATAAGAATAATGAGTCATCTTTCTATCAAGATGATTATTACCACTCAAATGCATCAGTCTACAACCACCACCTCTTCAACCCATTAGAGAGTTAGCAGTTCATTAACCTACTCTAAGAGAGCTAGCAGCCTTACAGTCATCACCTTGTTAACCCACTTTGAGACAGTTAGGATCTTCGTATCAGCAGCCACTTGCTCAACCCCAACTTAGTGTTAGAGAGGGAGCTCTTCGAGAATTGCAAAGTGAAAAAGAGAAACAACTCATTGAAGAAGTCAACCAATATAGGTTGAGTGTAGGGTTGCCAGAACTTGATCCTATAGGAAATTTGCTTAAATTGAATAAGAATGAGAAGATTTTTGAAGATGATACATTGGTCCAGCCTCCCCAGCCACCATCTCAAAGTGAGCTTGAATGTGAGAAATTACAAGAGATTAAAGGGATTAAAAGTCCAGATATTCCAAGTTCTCTTGATCCTTCTGGAATATACATTGTAGTCAAGCATGATTCGCTTATTTTGAAAGTTGGTGACAAAGATGTGGATCAAGTTAATTTCACTGAGCAGAACATTCCTATAGTTTCAAAAGAAGGGTTTGAAGTAGATACATGTGGCGAGATTGTCCCTAGAATAAGAGATAGTATGGATGATGCGAAAGATGACTCATTTAAAAACCAAGAAGAGGATCAATGGTACAAGATTGAATTTGAGAAAGAGGATATAGTGGTCTTAGAGTATAAGTTTATATTTTCTCATGGTAAGGAGAGCCACTACAAGAGATTCATTATTGCTACTGAACATGGTTTCTTTTGGTATCGAGATGGGTACTCTGACTGATTAGCCATGGAGTCCGGCTAGAGACTTTAAAACAACGCTTATTGGGAGGTAACCCAACATTTTATTTTGCTTTCTTTTATTTTATTTCGTTTAATTTTACAGATAAGTTGATGGTTAATTTTTTTGTTCCTGATTATTTGGAAATATTTGATTTCTGAGTTTTTGTGGTTTTCTTAATCATCCATCTAATAGAATTTAAGTTCGTTTTTTTAGGTCGGCGGCTACTCTGGAACAAATGGTGATGGAAAATGCTTGGATAGCAGTTGCAATGGATCCTCCACTCCTCTTCTTCAACAATTTCGGTTCTCCGCTTCACTTTCCCAAGGTTGTGTCATTTTTTTTCTTTTTTTTTTTTGTTTTGTTTATGTCTTTTCTTTTCTTTTCACTTGGTTGCCTTGTCTTTTGTGTTTCATACATTGAGGGGAATGTATACTTTAAGTATGGAGGGAGAGAAATATTTGTGTTTTATATTTGTTGTTAATAATAAAAAAACCTCTGAAAAAAACCAAAAAAGAAATTGAAAAAATAAAATAAATCCAGAAAAGGTCTATGATGAGAACGGTTTAACTATCTATAGCATGTAAGAATTAGACTACTTTGAATTATATTGTTAAACTTATGTAATTCTATATGTTGCTTTGAATATCCTGCTTTTTATGTACTTAGTCGTAACTGTGGGATAAGCCTAAAATGAGATATAGTTGCATGAGTTTGATGTAGATATGTCATAAAATGTGTGTTTGATTCACTCATACTAATATGATTTGTATGTGGAACCCATCATGTTGTGAAGGAAAAGTAAGGCATTAACCCAGCCTTAAAAAACCTTCTTACTTTGACAATTTGTGGTAAGTAAGTTTGGGGAGGGGTGTTGGTGGATGCTTCCGAGGTTAGGTGAAATTTATTGAGGGAGAAAAGGAAGAGCATTCCATGTTAATGCTAGTCCCTTGAGATGTGAGGAATTGGAACCATGAGTGGAGAATACTCAGGCCCGGTGAGGAAAAATAGATATGTAGACTGCCCTAAGTTGCTGAGCCACTATGTATAGGAGTGGAAAAATGCTCTGGGTAGGGGCCTGAATTGGAAAGAGTCCTAAAGAAAAGTCGCATGGACGAAAGAAAGGGTTACGAGGGGGAATAGGTTGTCCGTGAGATAAGTCCTTCTACTTCATATTATGTTTGGTGGTTCATTGCATTGAAATATGGTATGAAATGTGAATATGTGGTTAAAGTCAAACTGCATATTTGTAGTAGAACTTATGTTTTCTATATTGAATGTAAAGTGAAGTCCCTAAGAAACAAATAGCACACACACACAAGAGTGCGGGCTAAAAGTAGCTACAGTTTGCATATTGTTCGGTAGTGCATACTAGAGGTGGTCGAGATCTTTGTGTTAGATGATATTAAATCTTTGAGGCCGCTGAATTAAATTTATTTAATTGTGTGTTTTAATTTCTGGGAATACTTGAGGACAAGCAATATTTCACCAAGAGGTTTTCATGTGTACGTGAAGATCTTAAGAGATCATCCACTATCTGGATGATACTTAAATTTAGTTGTCGACTTTAACTTTTTTTGCCATCCCCCCTTTCAAATGGTCATCTTTAATTTGACTTCAAGTCAACTCAATTTTACAACATGTCCTTTTTTTTTATACAATTTTTAAACAAGCACCTAGGGTATTACATGTTTGAGTCTGGAGGAGGGGGTCCCCCTTCATATGGTCATCTTTAATTTGACTTCAAGTCAACTCAATTTCACAACAAGTCCTTTTTTTTTAATACAATTCTTACAAGCACCTTTCGTATTACATGTTTGAGTCTGGGGGAGGGGGACCTACTACTAGCCTAGTCTAGTGGGAGGGTATTACATGTTTGAGTCTGGGGGAGGGGGACCTACTACTAGCCTAGTCTAGTGGGGGACGACTCCACGCCTACAACGCCTCTTTCCGCACGTCCATCGGGTGCTTGAAGAGTTTCCAACTGTAACCTGCAAAGAAAAACAGCATTTTGGTGCCGTGTGGTTTCAAACTCGAGATCTCTAGGTTGAATGCCTAGCCCTCTACCACTTGGACCACCCCTTTTTGACCACAAGAGGTCCTACACTTTCATATAGCAGTCAATAAAATTTGCTTGTGTATCCGACATTATAGTTTAAGAAAATGAAAAGTCATTAAAATTTGCTTATGTATCTGCATTATATAATATTGTAAGTAAGTTCAAGTTGTCTTTCAAAATTATTTTTTCAATCCAAAAAGAAATCATGGTTGCACTCCTCCTTTATACCAAAGAAGGGAAAAGAAAAGAAAAGAAATCGTGGTTGCATTTTGAGACTTGATAGTACTTAGCTTCAAGATTTTGAGACATGATTATGTGGAGTTTATATAATTATAACACGTGAAAGTACCATTGAAGAAAATGTTCTAAATTGTTTGAATTATGAGTGGACGCCCCCAATTGTCTTTTTCAATCATATAATTCACTGCTTGTTTTAATTATAGGTTTAAAAAAAGTTATTTAGTTATCCCAAAATACGCATTGAGCAATACATTTCACTATTTCAGCTACAAAAGCATTGCAGTTTACAAAACACATACCCTTGTTACTGCATCTCCAAAACACCAGCTACAACTCTTTCTTTTACTTCGAAATTACTCTTGCATATGTTTATTACACACTTATTTTGATTATACATGGGTGAGGACTAATTAGGAAAGACTTTTTTTTTTTTTTTAAAGGAATCAAGAGTGGTTTCCCGTTTATTCCCGTATGTGACTCAAACCCATGATTTATTGATGAATATGCGAGACGTCTTACTACTAAGTTGTACCTCGCCGTCTAATTAAGAAAGACTTTACATTTGTGCCTCTTCAAATGTTCTCAAAAGCCTTTTACATGTCATGTTACATCCAATTACGTGCGTGGATGATATGAAAACATTGTCAATGAGAATCAAACACGCATGTGTACTACTGATTTATGAGGTCAAGGGAATTACCAGTGTCACTTGGACCCTTCCGCAATTGTAACATTCATAATTAAGGCCTCTCTGACCTCTGTTTCCAATCAGCTCACATACATCATGGGTGTCCCTTCAAATCACAAATAGTTCGATAAATATTTCTTAATTTCATCTCACACAGTGAAGTCTGATTTGTTGAAACAAAAGGCAATTCTCACTATTGTTAGAATGTGAATTTATCCTGATCAATTTTTTTTCTTCAATTGTGGGTTCAAAGTTTAATCATTTGGGGGTGATGGTCCAATATTTTTTCATAAGAAATTCACTCCAACCAATTAACCTAACCCAGTACTATTATTCATATACTACTAAATTAAGACCTCATAGTACGAATTGATGAAGTTTTGATGTCTTGAGTTGGTGTCACTTTGTCACATGGCACATGGATCTTACTCACTCACTCACTCAGTCCTTATCCCCAGTCTTTCACTTTCTTTTAATTTTAGCTTAGGTTCTTTCAATATTTCGACCTACCACAAACCGACAATTAAAAAAAAAACGCTCATTTTGAGAACACTCCACGTTTCAAAATTCACATTATACATCTGAATCCCTTCCTGTCCATCACTACGAAGTACTAATCAATGAATCTATCTAACCTAGCAGTAGTTAACATCCAACATTTAATAATAATCAGTTTCGTCCCAAAATATGAGCCACATTTGTTAAACTTAATTCTTATTCCAAGACGGTTAGAGTAATGTGAAAATGAACGTTACCAGCATATATACTTTGCTCCTGAAAAAGTTAGTTCTCTGGAAAGAACCTAGAAATGAACTTATCCAGAATTTGAGAATTTCGAAATCAACATATGGATATGGCAATCAAAAAGATTGAAATGCTCGCCCTTCCATTTCGTAATTACTCCTTCCGTCTCAAAATTACTGTCCAATTTATATTTTTAATCTAAATTCAAATTATATTAAAAGTAAAAATCCAACTGACAATAATTTTGGGACGGAAGGAATACAATATTGTCTTTGAGTGCCATTATCGTCTCTATTTATTTAATAATTTCCGGGAAGAAGAAGGGAGTAATAAAAATACAAAAAGAAAAAACCCCTAAAAAGACCCAACATTGGAAATTTGCCTGCGGAAGCCATTAAGATACAGCTCATTTTGCGTCTTTTTTAACTCGGTTCACACAAATCACATTCTCTTGTAGAACTTAGTTTGAGATTTAAATTGCAAAGAGATTCATTTCAAAATCTAGTGTGATCAAATGATCCAAATTAAACAAAACTCTGTGTACAAATTAAGGCATTGCCATTTAAGTTGATAAATGGCAAATCGATCATCAAAAAAGAAGAAAAAAAAAAAACCTAAGTAATTGCTCCTACATATACTACTAATAACCCATCAATTAATTAATTAATGGGAAGTTGGCACAAGTCTTTGGCAATCACTTCTGGCAACAAACCTGGAAGAAAAAGCACAGAACTTGTAATAATCATCATCCAAAATGCTGCTTCCTGATGCCCCACTGGTGTCAAAGTTCAACGAATAGCTCATTGGATCATACCTACACTGGAAAGATGATTGCCTACTTGTAGAAGGACACAGCATTCTCTTTTGTTTCTTCAGTTTCCTCATCAATCTTGATAACCCACAACATGATGATGATGAACTGCTACTTGAAGAAGAAGAAGAAGAAGAAGAAGATGTATTGTTTTGATTATGATGATGGTGGTCTGAAGATGTTGTGGAAGAAAATGAAGAGATTTTTGACCATAAAGCCATTTCTACCATTTGTTCTTCCAAATTGCTTTTGTGGGACAGAACAAAAAAATATTGAAGGGCTGAAATGAGAGCTAAGAGATGTGTTAATTATTGGAGATGGAGAAATGTGGAGGTGGGAATGGGATGAAAATGGGAGGAAGCTGGTTTTGGTGTTTATATAGAGGGCGGTGGAGGATTGAAAGTTGCATTGATTGCTGGTCCCCAAAGAACAAATTATTTTTGTATTAAGCCGTTTCAGTTAGAAAAACTGAAAAAGAAGGTATATTTTAGTGAATAATGATGGTAATTGGTAAGGGCAGCGGATTAGCAGAGAGAAAAAGGTTTAAAATATTCGTGTTGCGTGACTTTCTGCGTTCGAGTCAAAATTAGTTTGAATATGATATATGTTTGGGATAGTTTGAGTTTTCGAGTGAGAATTAGTCTGAATATGATATATATTTGGAATAGTTTTATAATTTTCAAAAACCAAAAAAGAAGAAGAAGGATTACAAGATGATAGGATATTCTTATTTCTTACATTATACTCCTATATGAAAAAGTGGAATTATCAATTGCTATATTGGATATATGTACTAAAGTAGGACGAATCTTTCCACTGCTAAGGTGAGTGTGTAAAAATAGTTAAAAGGGGTAGAATTACAAATGTGTAACAGCAAAACTGTAGAGAAAGGAAAAGGAGAAATGTACAAAACTGGAACAGAATTCACCCGAGATCCCGAATTGGGGCCGGAGACGGGAAGAAGCTAAGTACCATTCTTTTTGTTGTTTCTTTAACTTGTTCTTTTTGAGTTATTTCACACTTTTTCATACGTACCTTTAACCCTTTCACATGCACGAATAGGTAAAAAAAAAAGAAAAGAAAAAAAGATGGAGAGCCAAAAACATGACCCGAAGTTATTGCATTCAACAATTGAAATTTAGGGACTTGTCTGCGCAAATGTAAATGGTCTTACCGGGAATAGTTATAGGTAGACGATGAACTCGGGGTTTTAATTGTAGATTAATTCACCCTTACTCTACGTCTTGGGTTTAATATTGGTGGAAATGTAAAATTTTTTATTTTACCTTGTTGATTTCAAATCATCACTACCACTTAACAATGTTACAATGATTAAATGGGAGGAATTGATTGAAAGAAAAAAAAACAAAAAACAAAACGAAGCTGTTAGGAAGACTTAAATTTAGTCATGCCTATGGAGAATATAATTTAGTTGTAGAGTTTTTTGTTACATTAGCGGGATCAAATCCGATAGGAATCATCCAGTTAGATTTGTCACCGTCATAAGTTCGTTATTGGTTACAACATCATGTTTTAGGGTCAGATAACCCCTAGCCGGCGTTTTGTGATTGCATCCTAGCTGACTGAAGCTAATGTAATTCCCTAGTTACCAGAAAGAAAAAAAAAAAGAAAAAAAAGGAAAAAATAACAGTAAGGGAGAAAGTGGGAGGAATGCCTACCCCAGTAAGGCACCAAAATGAAGAAGGTAAATAAAATAGTGCGCTGAAGTTGGTCAACCTCATCCTTGACCATGATCCACAAGTACTTATTCATGAATTTTCATCATATACTTAAATTTGTCGAACTGCCAGGAAATTCAATAAATAAATACAAGAGTTTCAGATAAAATGTGACAACGGGACCACCACGAGGTTTTTGTTGGAAGTTCAAATAATTGGCGAAGCATTTTGGAGAACACGAGTTTAAGGATTAGAAGATGAGGAGGGGTAAGAAGTTATATACTACATTACTACTCCATCCGTCCCATAATTATTATCCAGTTTGGATTTTCATTTTTAGTTCAAATTATACTAAAAGTAAAATCTTTCAAACTGAACAATAATTTTAGGACAGAAGGAGTACAAAATTTACACTATACTTAATTTTCATCAGCTTTAAAAAATTCCACTACAAATCAAGAAACACTAGTCAAATTATAGAATAACAATTTGTAAACATGACATAGTATTGATCAATAGAAAACTTCACATCCACATTTTTTTTTCTGGTAAGTGAAATTGAATCTTAGAATTACTCAACCATACTCATTAGAAATTCACGCAAGACTTGGCTTAATCTGGATAGCAGTAGTACTATTGCAACCCTAATTATATCGTGATTGTATATCATAATTGAAAGTTCTTTTCTACTAAAATCCTAATGTAAATTATTATTGAAATTCCAACTATATTGAAACCTCTCCTCAACAAATACAAATCTAAAATAATAAACTTTTATATAGTACTCCATCTGGTTCTTAATATAAGACATTTTGATTTGTTGTAGGTTTCATTTAAGACGCATTTTTAATTGATGAAAAAATTTTAACAATATATTGTAACAATCAAAAAAACACAACGAATGTGAAAATATATTTTTAAAATTTTTTCATTAATTAAAATATATTTTAAATAAAATATTAGATAAATCAAAATAACTTATATTAAAGAGCGGAGGACGTACTCATTTTGAGAAGTCACGTCTCATAATATTGAAAGTTGCCGATGATGATCATTCATACAAATTTGAAGGACAATGGTAAATTTTCGAAAAAAATAAGTCGACAAACTCTCTCCATGTGGGAGATGTGCTTTCAATTCAGGGCTAAGCTCCTGTCAACCACGTGATGGCTCCGTTTTCGTCCTCAAATCTCAAATCCAACTGGACCATATTTCTGCATTTTTGTAATGGATTCAAAACGACCCTCGAAAACTGTCGTGTTCGAACCCAACAAATCAGCACATAGTACCAACTTGATTCTCCCCCCTTCCATTATTATTATGTTTCTTTTTCCCAAAGCCCTTCTCAAAAACCTTAAAAAGGGAGATGAATAGAGATGATCTTAATCTTTCTAATTAATGTATCATCGCTTGGGATAATAGAATCTAATTAAGTATATAGTTTATATATAAAGAAAGGTATGTAGCTACCATTGTATGTTTTTCGATAATTGAATTGTTGTTGAACACCAGCTATTAGGATGCATGCATGAGTCGGCCTAAAGTTATTACGCATAGATCGATATTGTTACGTAATTACTTGTAATTGAAAACTTATAATTTTGCAGTTTGAGATAAATATTAAATTCCTTTTTTTTTTATAAATTAAGAAAGAGACGATTGTCTGATATACTAGATTATTACAGCATGTTGATAAGAAACACCAACAACATCATTATATACCATAACTTTAAGATCATCAATGATTTATCTAACCGGAACAAAACCACACGGACTAGACAACGCAAAGCTAACTAAAAATATCCGCATCAAAAATCTTCTCCCGATAGATATGGTACACTTCTAACGGCCATTCTCTACTCACTAATTATCGAATACCTATCACCAAAGTTTCGATGTATCCCAAGAACCTCCTCATCATCTACATATTCATTCATTTTTATACGGGGAGATTAGAAACTTGTTTAAGAGTTCGTCGTCTTTAATATCCATACTAATAGCGCGTAAGCTTTTGTGCATCATATTCTCCCTCCCATACTAATAGCGCCACGCCTATATTTATTTACCTATAATTATCCTCAATAAATATTTATAAACTAATTACTAGCTTTTGAGATCATTTTTTTATGAATACTTTTGGAAAAGAGGTCGGCTGGGTAGTCAAATATTCCCCCGAGAGATCTTAGATCTTCATGTATACTTTAGCCTTTATCAATCATGCTGCTTATGATTGATTTCTTCATTTGACTGACAAATCATATCAATTAATTATAAGGTTTTTCCAAACAGTATCAATTCGTGATTTAACAGCTTTTCAAAAAGTATTAAACTTATAATTAATTATTACTAATCGATAGATTTAATATTACAGATTAAAATATTTTTAGTGCTGACGTTGATCATTTGGGGATGTGAGCAAGCCGCAGTGGCACATCAAGGTGGTTCCGAGGAAGGATTGAAGAAAAAAAAAATGTTGTGGGTGCAAAATGCTGTGGTCTGGCAAAGCGCGTCCCGATTGTGAGACAATAATTATTGTTTTTTTTTTTTGTCCTTTTTTTTGGGTTAATGTAGACTAAATTATGATTTTTTTTTTTTTTTGAACAAATACACAGGAAAAACCGTTACTGGTTGATACCGGAATCAAGAACCATGTTCTAACACCAAATAATTTTATTTTTTCGTTTGTTGGAAGAGTTTAGTCTTCTAAAAGAGTTTTAATCTATTAGAATATGAAATAATTTGGACACTACGCCCGTAATAAATCAGAGAATAATTCTTGACGGGCCTCTATCAATTCCTTCTTTGTTACATCTCTGTTAGCTTCTTTCTTTTTTTTTTTTTTTTTATCGAGTTACCGTCGAAGAGAGAATAAGGCCTTCGTGTCCACCCTATTAAATCACAATGGATCTAAAAATTCCAGTAGAGGCAATTTTAAGCCTAGCCTAGTATGAGAGTACTGGAAAAATCCGATCAACTTTAGATGCTTTGCAACTAAGTTTACCATGAAAGAATCGCGACGAACTGTTGATGAGATTAATATTAATTAGAAGTGGTTTACCAAAGATGATCTTTCAATTACCGTAGCAATAGGAAATCATAACGTACCTATTTCTTTGTTTGGTTAACCAGAATCATAACCTTTAAAATGTATATATAAAAATGATAGACCGCGTTGGTCATAAAATTTATTACCGTATTGAAGAAATGTCCAAGAACAAGTGACACAAGAATTCAGGTGTGGACGTAATCAGATGCAATTTGCTGTTACTATAAGTTAATAACTCACTTAGCATACTGTACTAGTCCATGAGTAACAATATTTTCTATCTTGATGTATCTAACCCTGCAAATAATTAGTTCAATTGGATTATATTTGTTGGACGAGAATTTCACATCATTATCCCAAATGAAATAGGAATAAATCCTGATATCTCTCCCTAAAAGTTCTTAAAAGTACATATACATACAATTTTGTTTTTGTTTTTTTTTTTAATAAAAAGAAAATTGATGGTCAAAGAGATACTAGTTGGTTTTTAGACCAAAATAGTTCGATTTTAACGTTATTAGAACGTACTCTTAATGGGTGGGGATGACAGAAGAATTTTGGACAAGGAGGGATGGTATTCTGATATTTATGTTTCAGTGTTTTCACAAGTCGCAAATGCCAGAGTATGGTGATTTTGGTGGCAACCCATATTTTGCAAAGATATTGTTTTGTCCCTGTTCATTTGCGCTTGTAGAGGTTTGCACTTTGAAGAGCAGTCTTGGCCCATCTGAAAACTTTGTTGCAAAGTCTCCCTCCAATTGTATTTATAAACTTTTAAGGCACAATTTTCACAATATCCGTCTCCGAAATAATTGTTCTGTTTAAGTTGTTATTTTTAATATGATATTGTTTTTAAAAAAAGAGAAAGAAATTCGAGACCAAAGAAGTATATATAGAGACCATAACGTACTAACAAATATCATTCTCCGCGCGCTGTTATATTCATTATTCTTCCCATGTGTTCCAATTTTACTAACACAAAATTCTATGAAGTTTTTTCTTTTTCCAATTTTTTTTTATTAAACTAAAATCATTGACAGAGGAAATTTAATTAACAAATACTAGTAGTCGCGCTAATCTTATTTTTAAGAAGGCACAAATCAGAACTAAATTTATTTATAATTTAATAAGATCGGAGAGAGTATTTAACAAAATTAATTTTGTGTGGCAAGTTGGTTGTTAGTTTCAGTGATTCAGTCTTCTTCCAGGGGAATCTTTGTTGACACATATTTTTGTGTAGATGACGACTAGTTTGATGCGGGCATTTTTGTTCAGATGCTTCCTGCAGCGTCAAAGCCAACTTAAACAACTCATTTTGCCTGACCAAAGACGTTGAACATACTGCACATTCCACAGTAAAAGACACACCATTATTTGATTAGTACTGCGTTGGATCTTGCCATTCAAGAGAGCATCCAAGGATCCTCTCTATTAACGTTATGTGAAGAAAACTACATAATTAAACAGATAAAGTTGACGCAGTAAATTTATTTTTCTTGGTGTAAATTATGTGTTCTTTGTTTTTCAATACAGTAAATATCATTTTGGAGACGGAATAAATACATAAATAAAACAATAGATACCGACACCGTAACCTTCCATGTATATACTGTGCTTCCACAAACGAAAATTGCATCTCGAGCTAACTCATGCAACTTTTTGAACCGAACCATTGTTAATTGTCACTCCATATGTATAAATTTGGAAAAACATATACTCCCTCCGGTACTTATTATAAGGTATTTTAATTTCATCCTAGGTTTAATTTAAGATGTCTTTTTAATTGAAGAAAAAAACTTTAAAAATATATTTTCACATTCGCTGTATTCTCCTAATTATTATGAAATGCTTTGAAGGTTTTTATTTCAATTAAAAAGACATACTAGATAAAACATATGACGAAATCAAAATGCCTTATAATAAGGACCGGAGGGAGTACAATACTACTCCTTCCATTTCAATTTGTAGATCGTTTGAAGAGATTTTTCGAAATGTAGGTCGTTTTACAAATTTTAAGTAAATTAATGACTATTTTTCTAATTTTATCCTTAATAAATAATACTAATCTATTTTTATTTAGTCTTGTTTATAATTCTAATGTAATTAATGAGGGGTAAAATAGATATTTTACACTTAAATTAATTGTTGGATGATTGTCTCCTTCGTTTACGTACCAAGTCTAAAAAGACTTACATTTTGAAATGTAGGGAGTAGCTACTAATTTCAAACTATGCAAATTAGTACATAATTACACTCATCTTAAAATTCACAAATCAAGTTGTACTCTCTGTTTCTTTTTTCCAATTAGGACTTCAAGCGCCCTAGTCAATGAGCTTTTTTGCCTTCCACAAAATCTCCCCGAAATGTCAAAACTTTATCAAGCTCGGCAGTAAGTGTCATTTCAAAATACTGATAATTAATCTGTGCAGGTAAGGTGGCAAAATTACTAATATACGTATTTAAGATTCTAAATTTTCTTTGTATTCTTGGTTTCGTTGAAATACTTGTTAGGAGGGATTTGTCTCTCAAAAGGACCATTTAAATCCAGATTAATCGAAGCAATAATTTCAAACACCGAGCGCATAATATGAAAAAAAAAATTACTACTAAAAGTGATTGCTGTTATAAAATAGTCGGTTCATGTGTACAATAGGCTGTCAATATTTTGGGTGTCACACTAATCTGGAATTTTTTTTTTCTCTATAAACGGTCTTGGCTGTTGTTCCTCAAAATTTGCATAATAATTTGTTCGAAGTGAATAAGTGTTTTTCTCGTAGCTAACATTTTTAAATTCCTTTACTTTTGTATCGATAACATCGAATAATCTTCACAACAGAGGGTAAATTAAATATACGATCCAAACAAAAATATCATCGTAATTTTGAGTATTTTTGTACACTTGTGTGTCCCTTCATATATAGATGATTTCGCATTTTTGTACCTGTACCACAATTAGTTAGTGTGTCAGTTTAAAATGAACCAAACCATAACCGATCTAGGTCTATGCATGCATGTTCTTCTCGATCACCACAAGGTGAGAGCTGACTTAAAGCCCACAGAATATGCATCTGATTGACTGCAGCAAATCGGAGAGAAATTATGTCTCCGTCCCCCAAAAAAAAAAAAAAAATTATCTCGAGAAATATAAAAATTTAAAGTTTGGTATAAATGCAACATGTTTATACCAACAGCAGTTAGAAGTCTTGAACTATATATACCCGACAAAGGAATCTCAAAGAGATATATGCATTACAAAATACAAACAAACGAAGTACGACGTCATGTTCATGGACCTTTGATACATATGCTTAGATCGCTACAAACCTTTTGCACCACAACGAAAATTAGTAGGTATGACACATTTTATGTACTTTTTTTTTTTCCTTTTTGGTACAACTACTTACAACTATTGTACATTCTAAACGGTCTTGTATTACAAGCTAAACTAAATTTCATCGGTTTCTGAGTAAGTGTAGTGCAACTTTAACTAGGGCAAATTCATTGTCCCAAAACATGGTTTTATTACTTGGTTGGCATGTTTAGGTAAACTAAAAATAAGAAATAAAATTGCCAAGTATGATCCGACAATTGATAGTAGATGTCCCTTTTGTTTGATGGAGGCGGAAACGATAAAACACCTATTCTTTCAGTGCATGATATCTATTCAAATAGTTACTTAGGCCATGGAGCTATTTGACACAGAAATTCAAACACTATATTGGTCGGCCTTTAAGGAGGAGATATTGAGGAAATATGGTTCCAGTGCAGCAAGAGATGGAATAACCAGAGGGGTGGTGGCTTCAGCGATCTACCACATTTGGGAAATGAGAAATAATGCTATTCTCTAACAAAAAAGATTGTCTGTAAGTGAGGTGATGCATAATATCTCATTCTCCCTGAAAATGAATATGTCTAAAATTGTCAAGATGAAGAACACCAGAAAAAATAGAGGATGGTGCAGCAAAATGAAAATTACTCCCCAGCTCGTATAAAACTTGGAGAATCTTTTGATATTTATCTGGCGATCTTTTGTAACTATCTCTAATTATAGTCAAAGTTTTGTAAATCCTTTTTAAGGATATATAGAGGAACAAAGAATGTATGTATTTCTTTTTCACTCAATTGGAATGAAAATTCGACTTTCATCTAAAAAGAAATTAACTGGGAGCAATGTAACTACTATATTTGTTTTATTTTTTTATCGTGTTTAGTAAATATGTTTTTTTGAGAATTTTAAACTAACATATTTTCTGTCTCAACATACTTCTTTTATATAGTCACCGAAAAAATGATACAAGCATTCCATCTTTTCATTCTAGTGCCATAATTAACGATTAAACCTCACTCGACTGCATCACCAAAAAAGGTTTGCTCCGTTATTTGTTTGATCTCCTCGCAATCCATCTTACATTAAGGATGGATGAAATTTCTATTACTAAATAAACTACAATCTTTTTTATTTTAAATACATTATTTTTATATTTTTAATTAAAAAAACTCATATAAAAAACGTTTCAGACATAAGGCGTGCCAATTACCAAATGGGTCTCTAACCTCTTCGGGGCTCATTAAAAAATATGTGCTAGTCCTATGGGTTACTCATATTTTCTGTTTTTCTTCATTATTTTGGTCCTGAAGTTTTCAATTATTTGTCCTCAATGATACTGGACTCAGCCTAAAACTCACTCTGGTAAAGCCCATCATTTCAGTAAATCTCTGTTGTCTTTAATAACTTGGGTAATTTCTGTTCTGTTATTAGCCAGAACTTGTAATTGATATCCTTTTTGGATCTCGTTGCATCAATCCTGCCACTTTCCGAATCTGCCACTTGACTTCATAGACACGGCATTTTGCTTTTCATCAAAAAAAAATTAGTAAACCTATTCGACACGAATCTGAATTAGTCTGAGGGATAGAATCCTGTAATATACAGGAAAAACGATAATGTGCAATCAAGGATTGGAAATGTGTTGCTCACATAAAACCTGGAAATTCCATTAACATCAAACATATCCAGGATATGAGTACAACTCTTTAAGGACTTTTAACAGACTTTTATCTACAATGCCATATATTATCATCATTCTATCAGGCATCATGGAGGGAAGGAACTACTTGTGCAGTACTTCTCTTGATGATCTTCCCTTTAAATCTTTGTTGTTGAACTACTAACACTGATGAACTGCACTCTGCATCAGGCCCGGAAAGAATGTCTCCCACTATACCGAGTTCTGGACAATCTACCCAAGCACCAAAGCCTACCAGGAGAGGATAATCTTCATGACTTTTTCCTACTAAAATCAAATCATATTTATAGGACCCTAAACTCCTAATTGATGCTGCTAATCCTACACAATCTTTGATGATCTCCTCCTGGTACACGAAACGCTCGTTTCCCACGTTTCCATGTCGAACTTCCTCCATCAGGTTGTTATCCAGCTTCCTTTCGCGCGTATTCTGACTCCCGAACAGCAGGAAATGGTAGATTGTGAGGCTGATATTCGGGCGTCTGGCCATTCTCGCGGCGTAAGAAAGCGCCTCAGCGTCGTCCACGCCACCAATGAAGACCAAACCAACGTGATATTTAGTTTGGCTGTTTAACATGGATGCCGAGGCACGTAGAAGTCCTCTGTCCACCAAAATTGCAACTGAGCATGGAGCATTTTCCATGACCTTGGAGTTCATTCCCTGGATTGCCCTGTTCACTGATCCTATGGATCCATCAATTTCCCATCTCTTGTGAAATGGTAGAATGATAACCACCGTGTTTTTGTCAATTGCAACGCGGAAAATGTCTTCGTGCATTGTATCGAAAGGCGACAAGGAACTGTAGGACTGCATTGTGACACAGGTCTCATTATGAAGTTCATATTGTCTCAGGGCATTGATTACCCGGCCTGATCTCGAGGAATTTGGCTGCAGCATCCGATGAGGTTGATGCGCGATTAGCATCGGGTTAGCCCTGCCCACGAGTTCTATCAACAAGAGTGCAATGACTGCGATGGGGGTTTCGTCAGTTGCGTTGGATGCCACAAGCAGGTTCAAAAATTCAGGCACATTTTCTTGGTCATGGATGCAGACTAACATCCTCATCTCAGCATCCGTTTTGCTGTGCTGAATAGTCCTCCTTGCGAGCGCAACACCGTGTTGAGTCGGGTCGTATAGCAGTTTGATGAGTGGTGTCAGAATTGCTGTAACTACGAGCACTGACATAACACAAAGAGCAAATGCTTCCCCATTCAGAACCTACCATTTATGGCAAAAACAAATTTAAGATCAAAACAAAATGTTGTTTCTTTGAGGCAGTACAATGTTGTTATTCTTTTGAGGCATTTCACTAAACAAAATGCACCAAATTGACTAGATTACTTATATGGAGGTGGAAAAGGGAAAGAACCTGTGAATCCAACAGTAAGTTATACAGGACAAGATCAGCGATCCCTTTGGAGGTCAACATCATCCCAAGCACAAGCGATTCTCGAGTGGTCATGCCCATGTATATAGCAGGCAACATGATGGCCGAGATCTTGACTGTACAAGAAAGGAGAACAACCAATCCTATTGTACAAAAAGATTCGAATTGAATGGCGAACATGTCTGTTTTAAGTCCGCTTGCGGTAAGAAATGATGGGTAGAGGACTTTGCCAACTGGAATATCAAGCTTATCAGTTATAGCAGCTCCAATAGGAGGACCTTCAGGAACTACCAGCCCTAATATCATTGGTCCGAAAACAAAGTTCTGCCCAATCATCTCACTCACAAACCCGACCACGAGAACAGTAGTGAAAATGGCAGAAATGCAGGATTCTGGCACTGGTTTACCCTCAGGTATCCGCCTCGCGCTTCTTAAAATCAGCGGCCTGATAATGAATACTGCGACAAGTATAAACAAGGCGAAAACCATGGCTGCTACAACTGAAATAGCCATGTCGTGGCTCGCTGTTTGCAACACTGCGCAACCTGTTCCCGTCAAGAAAATCAGATCACAAAACATGGCAGTTGAGACTGCGAGGCGGCCCAAGTCAGATTGAAGCATCTTGAGCTCACCCAGGACACCGGAGACATTTTGAAAGGACGTTATGCTTTGGGCTGTCGCTATTATAAACAGATATTTCGCCATTTCAGGGCTTAAGGTAACAAAATAATGAAGGACATAAGTTAAAAAATGAGCAAATGCCATGGTTGTAAACAGTGCAGAGAGGCCTATAACCGCCGACTTCCTTCCAGGCCTGATCATCATCCTGGGATCCATCTTGACCCCTACTGTGAAGAAGAAGAACATGATTCCAAAAGTCGCGAATGTTTCGAATATGTTCCTTCCTCTGGGAGGAAACAAAACTGGTCCTATCAACATATCATGTCCTAAACCTGAAGGGCCAAACATTATACCGCCCTGATTGGTAAAAAAACAAAATTTAGAAAAAAAATTCAAACATGAACATTACTCTACTAAATGCAAACTTTGACATTAAAAAAAGAAAAAAATGCATGGTGCATATATGTATATCTTACAAAAATTTGCGAAACCATCGAGCATTGGCCGAGGGGCCTGAGTAAGAAATCAATGAGCATGGAGATTATGGAAACAAGTGAAAGTTGTATCAATAGAAGTGGTGTAGCATAATGCATAGGATTCTGTTGTGTCATGAAACCATAGGATGAAATCTTCTGAGGATTGTGGCAAACCAGTGTCTTGTTTCCGATGACTATGATTGATTCTGGAAATAACTTCGAGGATAGCGGGAGTAGAGACATGTTTTCCATTATGTAAAGAATAGAACACCGAAGTTTCAAGCATATTCTGGGGTGAAATCAGTTAGAGTATAAAAGTTGGATAAATTAATGAAGTTAGAAATCAAGAACAGAGAGAAATGAAGGTTTGCCAGAAATTATCATTTGCAACATTCACAACCAAAAAACACTGTGCGAGTGAGTGAGAGAGAATGTAAGCAATAAAACAGGAGTATGGTTTGCCTTCATTTCTGGTGACTTTGACTGTGTTTGTTATGCTCAAATGGTTCACAATGCACTTCCATTCATAATTTAATTTCCATCATACTAAGTTTATATCTAAACTTGTGGATGTCATGTCCTTTCACCAATCATAATAGCAAAATGAAAAGAAGTGACAAGAATAAGTTGTAAATCATAAGTGAATTTTCTTTCTAATACTCGTTGAAAATCACAAGAATCACGTCTTATATGTTACACACTCTTTTACATATATAATTTGTGTTTATCAAACTCAAAGATTATAATATGATATTATATATATATAATAAGTGTTTGTGATTTTACTCAAAGATTAAAGATCAATACGATCAATTATAAATTAGCCGGAATGAGACAAATGGGAAATCATTCTTTGGAACAAAAGGAATCTGGTAAGATATACTCTACTGAAATTTTTTAAGTGTTGTACCAAATATTTAGATAAATTTTTGTACATATTTCACATGTTTTTTCACCTTTACAACTTTTAATTAGCTAGTTTATAAAGGTGATTCTAAACACAAATTAAATCAGACTATATCGGGAGTTGAGACACATATATCGGGAGTCGAATTTTATTGCGGATTCACTAGCAGTTTTGGCATCTATTAGCCCGGGAGGAGTATTTGTGTTGGATGACCCGCCGGATGTGGTGAAACCCTGGCTACACCATGATGTAGTTGGTGTTTCGTACCAACATTATGTGTTGTCTTAGTTTTCAGGCTTTTCCTTTTTTATTGTAAAAAAAAAAAGCATATTATAATCAGGGTGCCACAAAAAGAGTGACTTAGAGTATTTATTAAAATATGGGGTAATATTTTAATTTTGGTAAAGTATAGGGAAATTAGTGAACATTTTGGAGTGTGAAGAACAGAAACACAAAATTACTACAACCAGGTTATAGCATTGTTCGCTGCTAAACCTTAAACCCTTTTCTGTTCAAACCCCCAAATACCGCAACATGAAACTCCTCCAAACCGTATGTGGTAATCCTCAAAATCCCAACTCAATCAACATCCAATTTTCTTTTGTTCATTTGTTTTTTTCCTCGACTCGTAATTTGAATATTGGGTTACTTTTTTTTCTGCATTTTGTTTCTAATTGCAGGGGGAAATCGTTCTGTTCTTCGAGCAATTGGGCGTCGATATTTTGCTGTTTCAGCAGAGGAACACGCCAAGAGAAACTACGCCTACAATGACTCGGAGTATAATACTGTTATCAACTCTGTTACTACTCAAAGAAGGCATTATTTGTTAAGGGATGTGTATGACGATATGATGCTTGATGGGGTGAAGCCGCAGAGAGAGACTTTTCATTCACTTGTTATTGGGTCCATGAAAGGATCTCGAATCCAGGATGCCCTCTATTTCCGGGATGAAATGAAAGCAATGGGTTTGGTCCCTGATGTAATTTTTTCTCTTCCCTTAACTTTTTATGCTCCAATTTCAAATCATTTTACTTGCTCGAGTAGAAGGAACCCAGCAACACTAGTATGTTTTCACAAAGTGTGCTCTGATTTTTTCTGGCATTACTTTCTTTGTGATGAATGAATTGATAAATGGATAAAAGAGGAATCTTTATGGCATTTTCTTAAACTAGCAGTGATAAGAAGTAGCCATCAGCTTGAGTCAGGGCGTTATGTCTGGATCCGCATCTTTACGAGCACTGGCCAGAATGGAGTTCGATTTGATAAGAGAAAACGGTATCTTCTTAGATAATTTTATTTAAAGGATAAGCAATTCCAGCTTGATTCTTTTCTACAATTAGAGCCAAATTTGGTGATATTGGATCATGCTTTGATTCGCCTCAACGTGTGATTCTTAGCAATTGCGGGCAGAGGATTGTTTCTTATCATGAAATGAAGTAGTGAAACAATTGATCTTTAGAGTGAATAGAGGACACAAGAGAAACCAGAATTTGAAAAGCAATGCAGTTTATCTCGTGGAATGTATATGTTTGCCTTTTGTATTCTCATTTTTGAACAGTTGTATTTGTTTACTAATGGTCATTTTCTTTGCTATTATTAGGTTGCCGTGTTCAATTTCTTAATCACAACATGTGGTAAATGTCAGAACGCTGACCAAGCAGCCAGGGTATCTTTATTTTACTTCTCTTGTGTTACATACACAAGTAAATATTTCCAATTTCTTATGGAAGTTCATTTTTTATTTTATGCTACTGAGAAACTTTGTGTGTTTTCCCTCGTAGCTCCTGGAAGAAATGAAGAACTACGAAGTCAAACCCACAGGGCAGACCTTTGTCTGTCTACTTAATGCATTTGCAGCCTCTGGCAGATTAGATCGAGTGTAAGCTGTTTTCCAAGTAGCTGAACTTGAATTAGTTTTATCGTTTTTATTGCTTCCATAGTATATGCATATCTTCAAGTTCTTAAAAGGTTTAAATTTCTGTAATTGGAGGCTTTCTTTACTTTTTATCTTCCCTCTTGTAATTCATGCATGCAAACTTTGGGGGATCTCTTCTTACAAAATGCCCACAAAGTTTTGTTCTTTACTCCCTCAAGACTCTGAACTTATCTTCTTCATATTAGGATGCAATCCCATTTTTTTTTCTGTTGTTTTAATATTACAAAAGAGAAAGTAACCTTTTGGACATCAATGCAAAAAGAGAAAGTAACTTCTTGTATTAGCTGTTAATAACATCCAATTATCATCTACTTTTTCCTTATTGGATGATAGTTGCTGAACACATGTTGCAGGCTTGCGATAGTCCGGGATATGACTGCTGCTGGCCTTGGTTTGAACAGATTCTGCTATGCAGGCCTTATAGCTGCACATAAGAATATGAAGCCCCTTAGTAGTGACGTAGCTTCAAAGGTACTGTATCCCCTTTTACATTTTTGAGATTTTAATTTGCATGTTGAGTTTATCCTGTTCTAACCGTTCCTTATTTTAAAAGATCATAGAGCTTGTTGAGCAGTCTAAGGGTTGGGCATCAGTGGACCAGTCAAAAGCTGTTGCAGAGAATTTCATGAAGAATATTTTTGAAGAGGAATTGTACAATATCCCTACTGCTGACTATGTTCGACGCCGTGGTGGATTCCTCAATAGGTTCCTTACTGTCTATCATGCAGCATTTCATGCTTTTGCCGACCTTAGAAATGTAGAGGTAAAGGACCCGGAAATCCATTGTCTTTTGTTATGCTGACATTAATGCTGATTAGACTGTCTATATTTTGGTTTTCTGCTAAAATCTTTTATGATCCTCTACTTATAGCCAAAAGTTAACTACAGTAATATGAGAGGGAGGGAGAGGAAGAGGGTGGGAGGGGGGAGGGAGGGAGAGAGAGATAGATAGACGCATACAAAGAGAGGTCCGTTGTCATATGGACATGCTTCCATCTCAGACAAGTGCTGGAGTTGATATTATATGCTTTGACTTTTAATATATAACAAGAATATCTAATGAACTTGTAAAAATCCTTTTCTACCTTGCTGAGGAGAGAAAGGATGGGGGAAGCTTTGTGTCGGGAGTAACAGATCTTGTTCTAGCAGTGGGAGAGAGTAAGACCAAGGGGAGTGTTGGGGATGGAAATGATTCTCTAAGTAATCGCTCTACTTCTATTCCATCCATACTTTGTGACAGTTGTACATGTAGGTCACACCATATTACTGATTTCAATTTACACCATATATTTTGTAATTTTCCTTGGCCTCTGTTCTTTCACTACTAACCTTTGCGTGTGATAATAGTTGTTCAATTGCTCTTTTAATCTCTGTATGATAAGCTTTTCATCAATTCCAAGTCTTTGTTTTTGTCTTCCCTCTTATCCTTGGATAGTTGCTTTGAAGCTATAATTTGCATTTTGTTTCTTTGGCAGGCTATGGAAATACTTCAGGATATGCTTAGAAAGGATGGTCAGTTTCCTGACACTTTTATTGTGATGCAAATCATGAGGTAATTCAGTGTCTTAATATATTGTGTAAAGGCATTTATCAGGTTTTTTTGGTATGATTCTTGTTGATGTCTAGTCAGTGGGTTAAAGCAACTGCAATTATAATGTCCTTATTTGTTGTGGATTTTTGCTTTTGAAGCCATTGTTTGTTTAAAAGAATCATCTGGCTCATTTTGCAAGTCTAATGTTGATGGAAGGAATCTGGGGGTAATATCTATTCTTTTCCTCCATCAACTCGTTGAGAAATGTCCCTGCAAACTGAAAAAGTTTAGTTGCTTCTACTTTGTGGAAATGCTTGAAGTATGGCATGTAAATTAATCACCCAGGGACATATTTACTGTTCCCATCCTGGTTAATGAAGAGAAGTAATTACCAGAACTGTTGGGCACTTGAACAGTTTTCTTTCTGATTTGTGCATGCAGGTGCTATCTAAGAGGTGGAAAATTAGACCGTGCTGTCGAAGTATTTAACGAGTACATACAGCCTGGAAAACCAGCTGCAGTAGATCTTTACCTGGTGAGTTTGGAAGGATTTTGTGTCGAACATAACAGATATTTTCAATTAAGGGCTTGGTTGATAACACCACTTAATGCTTAAAATTATTTCATTAAGCACTTTTTCAATTAAGCATGTTTGATAACAAAAAGATGAACCTCTTAATGAATTAAGTGGTGCTGAAACTGCAGTGCAAAATATAAGCAATAAAAGTTAGCTTATTGCTTATTCCGTAACTGCTTAATAAATTCAGCATTTCTGATTCAGTATTAAGTATTCAGAATTAAGCATTAATTTTTATCAAACAGGCCACGTTATGGTGATTTCATTGCTGGCAGAAACGATTGTATTGTTTCTCATAACCTTTTTGGTGCCCCAGACGTTAATGGGGATTCCTTCTGTCATAGGAATTAGATGTCAACTACACATCTTGTTAACTCAAGCAGAAATATACTGCTATCCAACATAAATTTTTGTTATATTTCCAGAACATTTGGAACTTCTTATTTTATAGAATAAGAAAGCTCAAAGATGTATCCTGCTTTTAGGCCGCAAGGATCATCTTTCTTTGTTGAAAACCTCATACTCTGGCCATTTGGATGCTGTCCCTGAAAAGTTGTATAATCGCCTAATTTGCAAAGTTATTTTTCTTGTTCATGAACAATATGTCCTTGAAGTTACTGCATATGGAATGGAACTGATTACTGATGTTGTGTGGCATGCATTTGCCCTAGGTGGTTACATGAGTAGGTGGCACATAGACCCTTTTGGTGTGTGTTGCTCAGATATATTGTTCTTCTGCTCTATGTCCTGTTGTTTCCATGGTGCTTATTATTTCTGAATATTGTTGTTTTAGACTCTTATAGAGGGTGCAATGATTGGATATACTCCTGAGGGAATGCAAATTGCTCAAGATACACTGGTAAACTTCTGCCAGTTCTCTGCTATTGTCAGAGTTTTGTGATGATGCTGTGATTTCCATTATTGAATTGTATGAATTGAATGTTTATTTAGGCAAAAATGAACGAGAGAAACTTTTTCCTTAGTGCAAAATCAGGAAATGACCTCCTCCTTGTTGCCTCGGGTGAAAAGGTAAGTAAATAGTGCTCAATACAAGTCGCATCATGTTTTGATGACATTTTAGAACTTGTGATATCTATTTAGAAGTACTTTTCTTGACATCTTCCTTATTGTTAAACTCCATTTATTATTATTTGCAGACTGGTGGCTTTACAACAGCCAACATGATATGGGATATGATGCAAGCCCTCAAAATCACCCCGTCACTTCCCGCTGCTGAAGCATATTACAATGGTTTGAAAGTAAGTGTCCATGATTTAGTGGGTCAAAGACAAAATTGATCTTCTGTTTTAGATATGGTTAGTTTTTGTGTTACTCTCAGTGCTACTTCATATCCAAAAGTATTTGGCTTGCTCTTGATGCAAGCCCATGAGTCGCAATTGTCAACTATGTACATTATGAAAGTTTGAAACTAGCGTCTGCCCCTGCGACCCGATCTTGATTGCGACTTCTTTTTATATGAATATATGATTAACTCAAATGTTAATGAAATTCTGATGCCCCTTGATGCACACACATCCTTTTAATTTGCCCCTCTCGGTAAAAATTCAACCAAATGCTTGACTTATTATCTTTAGCTTTTGTCCGTCCGGTCTTCATATTTCTAGTACTCTGGTAATATTAATGTGCTTTCTGTTCAATCGTAGGAACGAGAGATTCCTGAAGATGATCAGCGGTTGGTTTTAGTAAAAGAAACTCTACACAACGGACGTGGTAGGCGGGTTTAGATTCCAAATTTTGTATTGTTTGGTCATGTATTTTACCATTTGTTTCGTAGTAGTGCCCTTGTGGAGATGTTTGCTTCTCCCATTTTCATTTCCGGCCAATTATTGTAAACTTTGGCAAGGCTGCATGACAGATTTTCTTAGTTAATTAGTTGTAAGGTTGAATAATTTGCTTTTTGCTTAGCAAAAAATCTCAAGTAACCATACGAATGATGCGATAGATTGGCATTTTGAGTTCCAGGCAGTAAGTTATAGTTCAAATTGCTTTTGCTGATACTAACAAAATGAGAAGGAGCCTTCACATATATGGGCACGTTAACAATTTGCTTAACATCTCATTCGAGGTTATGACACTACTGAACTCTACTATATTCTCCTTGTGCAGATAGCATTGCACGATAAACATTGCACATTAATATATTATGAAGTTTTAGGGGGAGCGGCAAATAATCAGTAACTCTACTTATTTAACAAGTGGAGGGGAAAGAAAGGCAATTATACCAATTTCCGACTCTTTCTACCATCCGTCTATGAAACTGCGATGTGTTCATTCACTAAAAGTAAAATGATTATATACGAAACGAATGCACACAAGCTAATGAAACTATGTCCATTTCATACAACAGTCAGCTAGACTCTGAAATTTTCTTCTGGATTGATGACAGCCAAACTTGGTTCATTCAAACCAATAATCAATAATGCATGATCCTCCAAGCTCCTATTTATGGGGAAAAGAGGGAAGAGGAGATAGATCATACCTATCTGACTGAAAATGCTCAATGCAAGTACATTTGAGATCACTCGGTTCTCTCTTCAATCTTCCATGAAGATCATACTTAAATATTTCCTAATACAGGGCAATATTCTGCAAATCAAGCTCAACACATACAGGTGCAAAATTCGCAACAAGAACAATATCAATTCTGCCAGTTAACATGAGTGTATATTATTCTTCTGCTTAACACTAGTTCCAGCTATACCAGGCTCAAACAAAGAATCTAGAAAATCATGGCACAAGGTCTACCTTTAGCAATGACAACAAACACCCATACCCAGCAACAATAATCCAAAATCGAATTTAGGCGTTGTAAATGGAGAGAAATTGGACCACAATAAGAACAAAATCATAACAGTTTTCACTTTTCAGAAACTCATCTGTAAAATACACTTATTGGAAGACATCAAGGTATCAAATGGTGTTTCCCTTCTAATGATGCTAAATATACAACCATAAAGTCGTCATCTTTGTCTTATCTGAAAGCATGAGTAAGCTTGTCTACTCAACAAATAAATGCCCAGAAGATTGTGTACCAACAAAAGGGAAAGAACAGGGAAGGTAAAATGATCAAAGGTACAGGAACTCAACTGTGCCCAATGTCTACCTGATTGATCCTAAGCTAAAATGAAAAAGTACGTCTACATTAAGAGAATGATCACCTCAAGGGTAGTGGATGCTGAAACAAAATAGGCTCACTAAGTTAACATTCATCAATAGATTGAAAAGGGCAAACTGGAAAAAGAAGATTATCCGAGGCAAAGTACAAAAAGGCATGAAAGTGTTGCCTTTGCAAGATAGTCCTAAACAGCGTAAATTGCCCAACTGCCTATTTCACTCCATAACAACCTTAGCCCCAACAGCTTTCATCTTCTCAATTATCTTTTCTCCTTCTTCCTTTGAAACCCCTTTTTTGAACACCGCAGGTGTCTTCTCAACAAGGTCCTTTGCCTCTTTTATTCCCAAATCAGTGACACTCCGAACCTCCTTAATTACCTTAACCTTTGAAGCAGCATCAAATGACTCCAACTTCAGTTCAAATACAGTCTTCTCAACTTTCGGCTCCTCCTTTGCAGCTGCTGCAGGTCCCTTCATTGCTACTGCAGCCAGACCAGCTGCTCCAGGTTTCATCACCCCGATAACTGGAGGCTCCTTCATATCCATCTTCTTCATCAAAATTTGCGAAAGATCTTGGAGTTCAACCAATTTAAGAGAAGATACTTCCTCCACGAGCCGCCATACCCTCTCAGTGGGAGGACTGCGATGTTCTGTAGGATCAAAAGTTGCAGGATCATAGTCAGCCGGGAGTCTTCTCTGGTCAATTTCTACTTCTTCCATCTCTTCTTCCTTTAATGCGGGCTGAGCAAACCCTCGAGTTACCATTACCGAGTTAACTAAGTAATGCCCACCAGACAAGAAGGGTTTTCCCGACCACGCATACGCTGAGTGACATCTTAACCTAGCAACCAAACTCATTTCCACCTGCCTATAATAATCTTACACTAGATTGACTTAGAAAACAACCATTTGTTTGACCTACCAGGACCAGGATCAAAATGCCTGTTAAATCAGGAAAACAAAAAACTGAATTAAGAAGGAAAAAGGTAATCAAAACAAAACCGGTATCTATAATGGGAAGCATTTCATCAAACATCAAAGACAAAGAAACTGGACCCATTAGAAAAACAAAACAAAAAATCGGTCTGATATTACAGAAGCGGTAGTACTTCAAAAACTTCACGTCCACAAAAGAGAACTGGGGAAAACAGTAAAAGCAGTACAATTTCTTAATTTAAAGGAGCTGTTAACTATTGGCAACGCATTTTTGCAATCGGAAATCCCAAAGCTCTTATTAAGGAAGACAACGAATATTAGCAGAAACAAATATAAGAATACCGAGGCAGAATGAATCGAGTTCACCTTTTCAGAATCTAAATAATGTTTTCCAGATGAAATTTACTTACAAAGAAAACTGCAGAAAGCTCAATTTGGATGCAACGGTAGTTTGACGGCGGCGGAGGCGGCGGAGGCGGCGACGGCGGCGGCCTCAGGGGAGAAATCAGGGAAGCGTATTTGTAAAGGGGAGAGATTTTGAGTTTTGGGGTTTAAGGAATTAGTAATGAGATGAGATGAGAAATCTGGGTTAACCGAAAGCAGGATTATTTGTAGTTTTACTAAATATATGGGGCCTTTTTGCATTTTATCTAAAGTTTATAGGTCGTAATTCGAATCTGTCTTTCCCTCTTTTCTTCTTCGCGTTTTGAGTTCTGATTTCTGACTTCCCGATTCACGAGCCCTAGCGCCGCTCTCTACCAAGCGTTGCCACCCTGCCGCCTCTCCTGTCCGCCTTGCTGTGTCGCCGGTAATATTCGATCACCGAATAAATCCGTCCGCCCGTCTCTCTTCTTGCTGCTGCCAATCTTGCGCTTCTCTCTCCGCGTTTGCAGGAGCTTTAGCAAACTATATAGTCTTGTCTTTCCACAAACACCTGGTACGCACATTCATATTTCATCTCAGTTGTCTTTTTCCTTCTCCGTTTTAGTTATCGTCTTAAATGAATTCCGCCCTGCTTGTCTCCAACTGCCATCAGAATGTTTGCCAATCGCTATGCTTCAGGCTTCTTTACTACCTTTTTTCTTGGTTCGAGAACTTGCATACTTAGGGCTATAGAACAGAACTAAACAAAAATGATGTGTAGTTTTTTTTTTCCAAAATTCTTGCACTCAATTGTACTGTGTGATTCTGTAGCTGAATGTTGGCTTTTCTTAGTTAGATTTTTTTTCCGTTTCGTGCAGTTGAACTTTTTATTAGGCTTAAAAAGAGTTTGGAATTGTTTGCTGTCTGGGATTTTCTCTTCCTGCATTTTAGGTTTGATGATCAAATTTAAGTTGCTGGTGGCTCTAAGTTTTGTTAATTACTTACCAGTCCCAGAAAAATAGTCCTCTTTGGACGGGGGAGTATCACCTTTCTGCTATGCTACTTGTTTGGTAAAATGTTGCATATTATGTGCTATAATACAGAGTGTGGAGCTTATTAAACTTTGTACCAGAACAAGTGGCTTATGGCTTAGCAAGTTCTATAGCTTTGATTTTTTTTACTTTTCAGATTTAGTTGGAAAAAGGAAAGAGGAAGCATATGATGGGTCACGAATCTACTGTAATGTCTACCCATAGCAAAAGTACCGGGCTACCACGGAAGAGATTTTATCGTGCGAGGGCACATAGTAATCCACTTAGTGATTCCCATTTTCCTGTTCCTATAGCCCCTTCCCAATTTGATTACGCCAGTCATTATCCTCAAATTTTTGGGGAGACTGTTGAAACAAGCTGTCAGAGAAAGATTGAGTTTGCTGACATAGGTTGTGGTTTTGGGGGCCTCTTAATTAGCCTGGCGACACTTTTTCCTGAAACTCTTATGATTGGAATGGAATTGAGGGATAAGGTGACAGAGTATGTCAAGGAAAGGATATTAGCTTTGAGAACTGGCAATCCTGGTCAGTACCAGAATATTTCAGTTGTTCGGACGAATTCAATGAAGTACATCCCGAATTACTTTGAAAAGGGACAGCTTAAAAAGATGTTTTTCTTATTCCCAGACCCTCACTTCAAAGAAAAGAATCATCGTCGCCGTGTCATCAGCACATATTTGTTGGACGAGTATGCTTATGCTCTTGCTGTTGGTGGAATTATATATACGATTACAGATGTGGAAGAACTAGGGGAGTGGATGAAATCTTGTTTGGAGAGTCATCCAATGTTTGAAGCTCTCACGTCGCAAGAATTAGAAGATGATCCAGTTGTTAAGCTTTTGACTACTGCTACAGAGGAAGGACAAAAGGTTGCACGAAATGGGGGTAAAACCTACCAAGCTATTTTTAGGCGCATAGCTCAACCTGCACACTGAATGATCTACCAAAGGAGAAGCATGTTATGAACTTGGCTTGTTCTGTTTTTTTGATAGCGTTTTTTAGATTCTGGCATTGTAATAGTTCCTTCCTTTCGCTGATAGGAGGAACTGTGGTTTTGTACTTTTGTAATTGTATGGAGCAGTGGCAATTATGAGTTTGTCAAGATTCATGAATTTTAGAGTTCTCTTGTTCCTTAAGATATGGATGCCCTACTATCAGTGAATGAATCCAGCGAAGGTGTTGAAATGAAATTGTGAATCAGACCATTGTGATGGTGACAATCATTTTGCTACAGAAGTACTCCCTCCGTCCTATAATTATTGTCCAGGTTTATTAAAATGAAGGATTTTATTTTTAGTCAAACTTAACTATATTTTATCTTAACCAACCGGATATACCCCTACATAAGTATTTGTTTAACCACTAAGATTTTATGGATAATGTTTGTTACTAAGGACAAATGTGTAACTTGATCCATAAAAAGTCAAATTGTACAATAATTTTGGGACAATTTTTTGGGCAAAGTAGACAATAATTATGGAACGTAGAGAGTAACATGTTTTGACCCCTCTGGCGAGAATCTGGCTACTAGGTCTTATTGATAACTGAAACCATGGCATCAACACAATACAAAGGGCTAAAACATTGAGTTGAAGGATTCGAAAGTTCCAACAATGGTCAAGACAAAAATACTAGAGCAGCATAATAGACTATCCCAAGATTGGGATTTTATCAAGCTAACTGACATAGGACGTTCACATCATTATGATTATGATCAGGTTTAAAGTTTACACAGCAAGATTTATCTTTTGAACTTGGCCAGCTTCTGAGTTATGAATAAATGGAATCAAACAAACCAAACACTAATAAAAACTTGGTCTGGAAATTTACTCAGATGCCATCTGCAGTACTCGGCCAGCTCAAATTTAAGAAGCCCCAAAAAAGGCTAAGATTTGGGTCAAAAACTCACTACAATTTCATGGGCAAAGATAGCTAAAACTAACTACACTTTGACCACACAACTGTTTGCAGCCAAAGCAAACATTGAAGAAACAAAGAAAAACCATTCAAGTTTACACAATGCTACACTACAAAATCAACTACTGGGATCCCTTTTACCACCATACAAATAAAAACAAATCTAAGATGTTACATAGCGCTTAATAGTCAACGTAAGTTCATTTCTCATTCGGGGATAAGTGCTTCGTTGTCTGCATCACCACCATCATCTACTTTAGGCTTCGATGGTGCCCCAGCTCCAGGAGCCTGCTTCTTCTTTATGCCACTTACAATATCATCAATCCTCAGAAGCATGCAAGCAGCCTCTATAGCTGTTTTAAATGCCTGGGCCTTAACAGTGTAGGAATCCCAAATCTGAAAAGTTCACAGATGTTGAGGTTCAATCAGCAACTTATGAAAACTTACAGAAACTAAGAGATGCATTTCCAAAGCAAAAATCATGATCAACGGTCAAGATCGTTTAAGAAAGTACCCAAAAGTTTATTTTTTATGGCAGCTGAGAAATTTAGGAGCAACAAAAACAAAACTAACAAAATACAAAACTAAATTTTGAATCACCAAACTAAAATTAACAATACAAAAACTAAGAGGATGTGAAGGGTTAAGGGGAACGGGATCATACCTTTCTCTCTTTCATGTCAGTAATTTCACCAGTATTTCCATCAATGCCAACCCATGCATTCTCGCCATTTGCATGCTACAACACATACACAATAAGCACCAGATAGATGTGACTACAAAAGATACATTCACAAACCTTTAACCAAAAGTCATAAAATCTGTAACAATGATGTTCTTACCTTCCCTTGCAGTGCAGTCATTGTCCGAATTACATTGACTCCGCAATTCTGAGCCAAAGTTCGAGGTATGGCCTCAAAAGCAATCGCAGCAGCTTCATAAGGCCACTGAAATACAATGACAAAGCATCACATGTCAACTTCCAATATAAACAGCTTAATCAAATAATTGCTCTGCCAGGGCATGGCTATTCTCAACGATTCAAGGTGAATAAATTACCTTTTCAATGCCTTCAATAGATGAGCTTTTCTGTTTCAAAACTGCGGATACAGTCAACTCTGTAGCACCACCACCAGGAACGAGTTTAGGATTCTTGACAATATTTCTAGCGACAGATAGGGCATCCTATACCACAAAATAAACCAGATGTCACAATTCCATCCAGTTTCCAGGGAACACAGATAATGTGGGAACCATATGCACTCATACAAACCTGCAAGTTTCGTTCCACTTCATTCAGCAGGTCTTTGCTGGCACCCCTTAGGAGTACAGTACAAGCTTTAGGATCTACGCAGTCAACAATGAACGAGAAGTATTCATCCCCAATTTTCTTCACCTCAAATAGGCCAGCTCCAGTCCCAACATCCGATTCCTGCAATTCATCAGGTCGGTTGACAATGGTAGCCCCACAAGCCCTTGCAATCCTATTATTGTCCGTCTTTCTCAATCTTCTGATTGCAGAAACACCAGCCTTGCTCAGATAATGGCATGCAAGATCACTGAGACCTTTTTCTGTGATTACTAAATCTGGTTTGAACTTCAAAATCTGCATGCAGAGGTTCTCAATGTATTCCTCTTCCATTTTTAACAAGACACTCCAATCTTCTTCCCTCAACAACTCTGCGTTGGTCTGATTCTCTCCTTTCTTGTACTCCAGGGGACAATCAAGCAGAATGATACGCGGATTTACAATCTTCCTTCTCATTTTACCTGGGGCCACTACATCCTTGTTGAACATAACTCCTTTAAGAACATTTGAATCTTCCAATTGCCCACCAGGAACCTTCTCAACCTTGACATACTTCTTTATATCCACTTCACGAATTCCTTGCCCAAGATCAACTCCCACTGTAGTTGTAGCATCGATGGCTAAATCCTACAGTTTATTTAGGAAAAGTAAGAATAACTCCCAAATCAAGGTACCAGTTTTTGCCACTGCTTGTTCAAAATCCCACTGTTGTAGAAACTTTATTCAAGTTCATATTCGCATGGATAACAGTGCTGGCATTTTATCTGTTACTATAGTTTTCTTCAAAACATGAAAGTACGAGAGGTGTGACAAAGACACAATGATGGCTCATATCAAGAAACAGTACTATTAATACAAAGAGAAATGCCCCAGCAGAGCACACACACACACACACACACACAAAAAAAGACAAAGGCACAACATACTAAATTAATTTTTTGCAGGTAAAACAAAGGTACTTATGAGGCACAGTAGTTCATGGGCTTGTGAATTAAGGGAAAACAAGCAACTCCACAAAAAAGAGAACCACAGTGAAGTTAGTAACGAAATAGAACTTCTACAGGAAGCAAGGTGAACAACGACGAACATAAATGGTAATCGCCAAAGCCTAAAAGACTGAAACCTAGATATATACTTACCGCAATAAGGTCACCAAATTGACTGGTGAACTTTGTGCCAATACAGCTCTTCACCAAGCCTAACATTGTTGCACCTACAAAATAAGATGAGGTACTATTAAAAAGCAGAAGCAGAAACATATCAACAGTTAATGAAATAAAACTGAAGGACCCCGAAGAAAACTAATTCTACAGCACATTATCAAGATATCAATCTCAACGCAGGATTGACACAGCAAATTCACCTAGAGGGGAGGTGTATACAGTAATACAGTAATAAAAGGGCAAGATAACTAAATTAAAATATGATTTGAACACCCGCTAACAATTTTCTGAACCAACTATAGTTATGAAACAACAAGTCGGAACACATCACTGGGATCAAAAGAAAATTTTGCTAAAACTAAAAGTAAAAAGAACTTACGGTCCTTGACATCAACATTCATTGCTATTTTATCCAGGACAGCGATGGCATCCTCTAGAGCTTTGTTGTAAGCTGCAACAACAATTTTTATGAATCAGAACTGCAAAACGAACTAGCCATATAAAACTAGAGTAAGAGGTGTATGCTACCTCTACAAAGAACTGTTGGATGATAATTCTTGTCGATGAAGGCTTCAGCAACATGCAGCATCTCACCAGCTAAATATTTTTTCACACAACAAAAGCCAAGAACAAATTAGATATTATAACCAATATATACAAAGATCAATGGAAATACAGGCAAATATATTCATATGAAAATAATGGAATTTAAATACCCCAGATACTAAGCTAAATATTCAACAAATTCATGTTTTAAGAAATTTCATCATCAAACCAAAAACGGACAACAGGGAAAAATGATGAGTACCACCTTTCTTACCAGCCACATGCTAAGTAAGAGGAGGAATCAATGGTAGTAACACAGCAGATAAATGAAAAGTAGAAAGCTTTTACAATCACAAAGCTATGGAACAACAGACAACAATAGACAAAGCCATACCGAGAACTATAACAGAAGTTGTTCCATCTCCAACCTCCTCATCTTGAGTGCGACTTAATTCGATCATTGACTGCAGCACCCCAAGAAGAAAGGGAATGGGTCAAGAATTTGAGTCTCGGGCGCAAATGAGTTAAGTGAGTACTACATATAAGTAAATACTTTAAGTGATAACAAGCTACCACATAAATATAGCACAATAAGGAAAAAAAAAAGGCAGAACAGCAGAGGCAACATATATCCACCTTAGCTGCTGGGTGCGCAAGATCCAACTCACGAAGGATAGCATTCCCATCATTTGTCACTACAATTCCTGAAATGAATAACAAGATCAGCAAATAAGCATCATATGGAACACAAATATTCATAAAAGTCAGTCAAAAGGTTCACAAAAGGTTGAAGTTCAGCATTCCAATTGAAGTCATACAAGTAATGGCCATTTACAACTAAAGAGAAACAGAAACAAGAAACACTATATGAATCATAGAACCAATCGACTTTGGCATTGGATTTATTCGATGACTGCATACAAACATCTCCTACCCACTTCGGTCCTCAAGAATAGGAGATCCGCATTAACGATTAAAAGCACATGTCATCTCAACAGCAAAAGATCTTCTTTGACATAAATCATTAAACTGATTTGCAGAAAAAATTACCTCCAGCAGCATCCAATAGCATCTTCAACATGGACCGTGGACCCAAAGTAGTACGAATTACGTCCGCAACAGCCTGGAAATACAAATAATTAGTCACGAAGTTCTAAAACACCCCAACCCAAATCCCCTCTTCCCCAAAACATGGGAGAAAAAGAACAAAATAAGATACACTCAATAACTCCCGAACTGGGCTGCCATGGCTCTATTAGATTACTTCTATCTAGCTTAAGTACTTTGTGCAATAAGACACTACACATAAATAACAAATACAAAGCCAAAGTAATTCCATCATACCTTTGATGCTTGGATGTTACCATAGTGCACCTTACTCCCGGACTCCCGTTTCAAGGAATCCTCTGCTCAAACACAAAACAAAGAGCAAAAAAAAAAAACAAATCAATACTCAGTTCACCAATATTGCAGAGTAGCTGAATAAGCAACCTCCCAAGAGCAATGCACAGGAAAAGACATTCATCCCAAGCTCTACGGAACATCATATTACTCTTGAAATAACTTTAAAACAAATAAATAGACCAAGGAAACACAAATCGGCAAGATTCAACTTTTATCATAGTGGAAAGCCAAAAAAAAAAGGCAATTCACACATACGTAGTTATAAATCAAGTTACATCCCGAGAAGTGTAAACTGATGCAGATCAGAAACTGCCGATTCAAGAAAACAATGAACTCTTCAAACAAACGAAAGCAGGAAATCATTCTCGAAGACCATTAAAAGCAGAAAAACAAGAAAAGGAAAGCAGAGAGATGAGAGAGAGAGAATAGCTTACTGAGAACGAGAACTGGGGCATGCATTTTTCCGGTTGGATCGAAAGGCAGAGACTGGTCGGAGGGAGAGAGGCGCGACGGAGGGTTTCGTAGAAGTGGAAGTTTTGGAGGGCTTCAATTTTTATGTTTCTTTTTTGAACTTGATTTTCTTGAGGTTAGTACGGTGGAAGAAAACCCTGGAAGATTTTGGGGTTTTTCTCTCGCGACTATTACTGTGTTTGTTTTTTTTTTTTTTTTTGCCTTACGAGAAGGCCCAATTGCATCTAGCCACGTATACTTATTTATCAAAGTTGGTCCCATAAAATTGTGGGAGTTTTTTTTAAAAAACAATTTTCGAGTAAAAAAAATGCAAAATAAAAAAAAATTCGAGTAAAACTTGAGAGAAAAAAATTCTTTGTTATTACAACTACTAACCAAAAAAAAAAAAATTAACATTTTAAAAATCGAATCGTACCTTTAACCGCGAGATTGAAGATCTGATTTTTACTGCGGACGCGGGAAGCAGACAGTTAAAGGAAGAAGCATGTAGCCTATGTACACATTAGCCACGGAAAGCAGGATACGTTGAGCAATAGCCTATGTATCTCCAAGGCCTATGTATTTCCAAGGCACTTAAGTTGAGTCTCTTCCTAATAATACTATCCCTTACCCTCATTGCAATAGCCTATGTACCTCCAAAACATTAATAGGTGTGGCCTCAAAAAAAAAACATTTCTTTTTTCCTTTTCTTTCTTTTTCTAGCGTTAAAAAAAAAAGCCCAAACCATAATATTTTGTGAATGTAAAATACAGAAAATGTATGATTCCAATCATCTAGAATGTTTTTTTTTTTTAAAAAAAAATACCTATATATTGTTTACGAAAAATATCTAAACTATTACAACGTATTCTATGAAATGCTAAATTATGTAATTTTATAAAATCGTGCCCATTTTAGTCAGAAAGGAAGACTGAAATAAGAAAATAGTAGTAATTAACAAAGGAATCAACTAAGGCCCCAAAAAAATATTATAAAACGGACATTAAATCTTTACTCAAAATTTCATAATCCGTGTAGTAACCACCAAGTGCAATGTTTCTTTCAAAACTAGAAGACAAATCATTGTTTCTGCTTGGAAAGGAGAAAGTACATGTAGGTCCACCGTTTTAATTTGTCTCACCATGTGGAATGTGTTATTATTTTCTAAGCACCAACTTTCAAAGAATCAAACTCCATAACAATTTCTTAGAGCTCCATTTTATGTAGCCAAACCCGTCAAAGTGACAATAATATGTTGTGGAATTTGGGTTTCTTTAAATTACTTTGATTCTGAAATTATATCTAAAAAGAAAAAAGAAATTAACGAGTTAAAGATTTCGGCTTTCAGGTTTTAAAGTTTTGACCGTCATCTCATTTAGTTTAATGTTTAATCATGCATTAGAGAACGCCGCATGATACAATCAAATTGAGGGTTCTATGATGTGGTTTCAGTGATAAGAATTGGTGTCAAAGATTAACAATGGCAAACACAAAATGCATGTAGTAGCAGCAACATTCCATTCTCCTCACGAGAAAATAAACGAAGCACTGAGACGGAGATATTCAAATACAGTTTCTCCTCTGCAACATGCAGTGATGTCGGAGAAGTTCAATCAAACATTGAAAGGCGTAGAAACAGTACATTGATCACAGTAATTTTAGGTATCAACATCAGACACTGATCACGATAGATATGCTATATAAACAGTAGATACACAACAGGACAATAGCACGGGGTAGACATTGCAGTAGCAGCTCGATGATCTTATTTGCACACATAATGACGCTGCAGCTGATTTGGGACCAGAATAGCTGTTAAGTCGCCGGTACACAGCATTTCTGCAAGCAAAGTTTGACGATAGTTTATAGCAGGAAAACAGTCCAAGCAGAGTGCAAAAGAAAAGATTACGAGAGCAAAACCAGCTGATGCATATTGGCTCTATGAAAGTCATCATATATGGACAATGAAAACTTCAGATATTGAAAACATTGTCAGTCTTACAATAGGGAACTATCTTCCATCGTTGATTCTCTCCTTTCTTCCATTCCCAAAGAACAATGGTGGTGCCATCGTGTACTCCCCCATGATTCTTATCACCATTGAAAGCGTCAACATTCAGACGAATGTTATTAACCATCCTGATTGTTCTGAAGTTCTCCCCAGTATCACGACTCAGAGTCCACAAAACAGACTCATCAAGATGTTCAGGATTGTAAGGGACTAGTTGCACCTGTATATAATTTTCAATGGTAAGCCAAATTTGCGAAACTAAAACTGAGAACTATATATGTTGTAAGAAAGAAGAGAAATCATAGCAACAGAAATAAACCTGATAACCACATGCTATTGATGAAAAACTCAGAAACCATAAGACAGCAAGTTAACCAGAAACACAGAGAGGGTAAAATCTATAGAAGACCAATCACCCGAGTGGACTGTGTAACATTATATCTGAAGTTCCCGAATTGCTATAAGGAACAGTATCAAGTCCTCTTTCAAATGAATCTATAAACCTTTTAATCTAGAGTCAGTATTAGCAAATAAACTACACTGTGATTTGCAAACCAGGCAAGACAAAATAAAACAAAAATTAAGCTGTCCAACTTTGTTTAAATCTGTTTTATGCATCAAGGACAACAGGGAGCACTTCCCCAACTGAGCTCGGGAATTGAGCTAAAGGTACATCACTAACAACCTTTCACAATATAACACCTACATACGAGATGTAGAATGACACTTGAAATTGCCAGAGCAAAGGGAAAGACAACAACTTTAGACATTGATTTCACAAATGCCAAATATTACAGACCGGAACATAAATTAAGGCAACTAGAGGTCTTTACAAATGTGGGCTGGCCATGTGGATCATATTGCTATCATCCAATTAATTTGTGCAGGTTAAATATATCATGCTGTATCCACTTGCTTTGTGGAATCAAGTTACTGGAGTCCATGATGGAGATGTCATTACGGGATTATCCCACAATACAACTAAGAACTCTCAAAAGGGACTGACTTTAAAACGACTTTTGATTGTTTACATGCTAAAGTTTTTTCCTCTAAATCCCCTAAGAAACAGACCTTCCATGTTAGAAGCATATATGGCCAATAACATAATAAAATTCAGACTGTCGAGAATCCTCTACAATCAACAAGAATACACGTTTTCAATGGTCAGTAAAGATTTTATTCATATTACACTCTTGCATTTGTTTTAAACTGTAAGTAGCAAGTCTTCGATTAAGTAATTGAGCCAGTTTTCAAGTCGCCACCAAAACAAAAAGAAAAAGGGAAAAGAGCTAATATAATGATATGTAGTCGCAGCTAACCATCCTACTGAGACACCAAAACTGAAACCGCATAGATTGACAGAGACAGATAGATCAACATACTGGATGAGTGGCACCGATGGAGTGCTTCATGGCTTGACCAGTAGCTTTGTTGACCAGTGCAAAACTTGGAAACCCTTCTTCATCCTTCACTCTAGTACTATACTTCTCATCTTTGATCCAGTGCTGTGGGGAGAAAAAGAAAACCCAAGTCAACACAAATCCTAAAAAGCACCACAAATAACAGCAGATTATTTCTGCCTATCAAATCAAGTATAAAAGGCATTAAAAAGGAGTTGCTTATCTTAACCAACTAAGATCAGCAGTATACAGGAAAAGCGAGTCCATCCTTTCCCCACAAAACAGAAGGAAGGTAAAAACAGATTCCTACTGTGCTTATGGATAATCCAATTTAAAGTTTCAACATAAGTTCAAGTTTTATCAACTCTTGTTCTGCAAAATTAGTAAGCTAATATAGACAGAAAAATCGGCATAATTGTCATCAATCAGCACATGATCACCCACTTTTTTACACTGAAGACCAATTATTTCATCCTCCAAGCCAGAAACCCCTCATTTAAAAATAAAAAAAAAAAAACGAACTTTCATCAGTTCATGGGACCATAATCTACAAATCTCCCACCCCCCAAAACCATCTTTGCCACACAGTAAAAAGCAGTCATAACTTACTTGAAAAGGGTCAGATGGATCTGAACGAGCGAGGATAACCTTCCCATCACGGATAGCAAGAGAGTAATTACTCTCAGCTTTGCAATACACTCTCACGGTAGGCATATTAGGGATGGCCGGATTGTGAGACTCATGAGAATGGTGGGAAATGAAAGAAGGGACGTGAGGGCGATGGGACTGGTGCGAAACATGCTCGACAAAGGCGTTGCCCGGAACCGCCGGCGGCGGCGGGTCTTGTGGTGAATTGTAAAAATCAGAACCGGGAGGTCCTCCGTACGAAGGAGTATGGGAGGTATGGTAAACGTGGGCCACTTGAGGCGGAGGCGGAGGTGGTGGCTCGTTCTCGTAGTAGGGAGGCGGGTATGGATTTGACGGCGGCGGTGGCTCGTTTCCGTAGTATGGAGGCGGAGGATACGGCTGACCCGGTGGCGGAGGGTAGAATCCTCCTTCCCGGTTTGGTTCGTCGTCGTCGTCGCGGCGGCGATTGTGGTGGTGGTGGTGGCTGTGGTGAGGGTTTTGACCGTAAGGGAAATCCATTTTGGGAATTCCCACACTGGAAAAGCTCACCTCAGTTCTCTGGATCTATGGCGGGCCGATCGGAATGTGGGAGAATTGAAACATAAATGTCAATTCAATGTAGAGAAGTTGTTTGTAGGCTGTAGCTGCCTTGAAATGTTTACACGTGGAACGAAATATTTTCAATAATATGTTTGTTTCGTTTTTGTGTTTTAGTTATTTTTTCTATTAGAAATATAAAAGATACACTGGGATGGTACAGTTAATATTTTATTATTATGAAAAAATTATCCAAAAAATAAAACAATTTTTTTTTTTCGTTTTTTGATATTTATACATTCAATTCTTTTATTTTTTTAAAATTATTGTCCAATTTAAATTTTTATATTTTATTTTTAAGAGTTACGCACTCCAATTGCATTAGTCTAGGAGTTGTTTTGAAACATGAAACATGTGTTTGTGGACAAGGATGTTGTGACAAATTGTTTGACACCTTTTACGTTTTCAAGTCTATAAATTCTAATTATTAAATTTCTAATATGACATTACATCATTCGTGTTTTGGTGAACTTCAAAATGGGAAGATATATCCAAAACATAATTAAGAAGTGGGGTTTTATCAGAGATGTGGTGAGATGAGAATGCCTCACCAGAATAGGGTTATGACTTCAGTTTTTTAGGATATTGCACTGTTTGTATCATATTAATTTCCTGTCTCTCCAAATAATTGTTTGATTTGAAATTTTCATTAGTACAAATCATAGAAATGATGAAAATTTTAAGTATATCTCACTAAATAAAATTGACTTCAATTTGAGTTTAATCTATACCTACTTCAACTAGAGTTTAACAATGTATTATATCGACCATTTTATCGATGACACGGTAAATATAACATAAAATTCATAGAAAATCCTGACCAACATAATCATATACCAAACTGATGAATTAATTGGTTTTATTCCCCAACTTAAAATGATTGTTTTGAACTCACTTGTTCATAGAAGTGAAAAAGAAAAGGTTGAATATTCGAGGAGAATTGATTCTTCATTTGGACAACTAAGGCAATAATGTTGTGTTGCCGTTCTCCATCTTTGCATCTTTTTCCCCTTATCGCATCTTATTCTTGAATAATTGAGTTGAGGTTCACACAGTTCCAACAAATTCAAAGGCGTAAAACCACCAATTTTATCTCACTTTCTTACTCTGCAGACATGAAAGATTCCTCGTCCGCAAGATTTAAGACGTGACAGACACTATACTAATTCTGCGTGTATATGAAGCATTTGTTGTTGTTCACCAACTTCACCAACTTCACACTATACTAGCACCTTCTCTCAACAAAATTTGCTGCCTCTAGCTTTTTAGAGCATCTTTAGTGTTGTATTTATTTGTTGCATACCAAATTATCAAACTTGTTGTTTTGCTGATTATTACAGTATCGTCTCCAACTTACAATATTACTTTTTATATCAAAATAGAATATTCTTTGTATATTCTCTTTTCTTATCATTCTTTTCTAATTCATTTGTGTTACGTGTTTAAGTATTTAATATATTTTTCTAATGAGTGTGTTTATGTATATTTGGTTTGTTGAATGTTTTTTATCTGTCGGCAATTTGGTTGCTCTAGTATTGATGTGTTTGGATTTTATTATTTTTTAATATAATATAATACACATATTGTTTGATTTTTTTTTTTAGTAAATGGCAAATTGTATTTCTCCAAATGAACATCTGTACATCGGCCTGTTGTACTGTTACATTCACAATCTATTTATTAACTCCTAAACTTTTCATGTATCGTATATCATCATTGTTGCCTTTTCTATAATAATTCTGAATTTCTAAGTAATTTCCTAAACTATTAGTGCAAACCTATCATCTTCAGACATTCTCCTTGTAACGAATTTTCTCTCATTTCTTTCAATCCAAACGTGGTATACAGCAGCTACGTACAATGCTTGCAAACAACACCCTTCATTTTACTTTCATGTACCTCCACAACTTCAGTATTCTTCCAATACTTCTTCTCAGGCATTTGATGCTCAGTTTCACCCCCAGCCATTGCAGGATCTTGCCAAGCAATTAAGAATAGAGACAGCTAAAAAATAAGTGATCTATGTTTTCCTGCCGACCTAAACAGAGTTCACATTTCACTGTAGTCTTCATAATTCTCACATTCTCTAGTCTTTCTTGTGTTAACAACCGATCTTTTAGGGTAATCCAACAGATAAAACTGTGTTTTAGAATGTTATAAGGACTCCAAATGAGATCAGCTGTTCTATATTTATTTTACTCACCCATCAACCATTTGTATCTGCTGATAGTGGTATAAGGCCTTCCTTGATTCCAGTCCACTTATCATTACAAACCCCATGCTTAATCCAGTCTCGTATCATTATGAGCTTCTTCTAATGCCAACTATTATCATTTGGCACTTGGTATTTCCAAAACTTTTTCCCTTTCAGATAGTATATGTGAATCCATCTATTCCACAGACTCCTTTTTTGCTGAGCAATGTCCCACAACTGCTTTCCTAAAAGTGCCTGATTCCATTTCCCAGGGTTTTTGATATGCAAGCCTCCTTATGCTTTCTTCAAGTATACTTCTTCCCAGGTAATCATTGATCAATATTTTCCAGAATCTTTACCACCCTACAAAAATTGTCTACATTAGGAATAAGAAATAAACTTCACCAGTAAGAATGAAAATTTATGAGTACAGAGTTTACCAGAACAACTCTCACTGCGTATGTAAATTCCTGGTGGCCCAGCTGTGTATTCTTGATGTTATTTTCTCTACCTGGATCTAGCAATCTCGTTTTGTCCAAGCTATGGGAGAAATAGGTATTACCAAATATTTATAGGAAACGTACCTATCTCATATCCCATAATCCGCTGAATTTCCTCCTACAGCTCTTGATGTACGTACCCCTCCAAAGTAAAGATTAGATTTCTGTATATTTACAGATAATCCTATTGTATCTGCAAACTTGGCCAGAACTCTTTTGATCATTTTGACTATTGGGGCATCAGCCTGACATAAGATGATGAGATCATTTGCAAAGTTTAAGTTTGTGATTTTAAGCTTTGCACAGAATGGATGGTATTTAAATTTCTTTTTTTGGGCTTCTGTCTTGATCAACCTGTTTAGGTATTCCATTGCCATAAAGAATAACAACGGCGATATGGGATCACCCTACCGTAATCCTCTCTTGCTATTGAAAAACCCTATATTTAAGCCATTCAAGTTTATGGTATAGTTGCTGGTTGTAATGAATTCCATAATCCATTGCCTAAACTTTCTGGGGAAACCAAAGTTTTCTAGCATTTCACCTACAAAGCTCCAATGTATGGAACAATGGCCTTCCTCAGATTCCACTTTCATAAGGCAACTAGGCTTAGTGTTTTGCCTTTTGTCGAGTCTGATCAACTTCTGTGTCAGCAGAACATTATGGAGGATTGATCTGTGTTTCACAAAAGCACCTTGATTCCAGTACACCAATTCTAGTAGAACCTGATTCAATCTTTGAGCCAACAACTTTGTATACCTTGTATGTATATGGTGTTGCAGCTATTTGATTACAAACATTTTAATTTTTGTTCAAATATCAAATCATTTTGTTATAATAATAGGGATCTCTTGAATAATATAATAAAGGAAATTAAAATCATTTTTTAGAAAAGTAATACGTACTTTGAAGGATATTTCTTAAAATAATAATTTTACGTCCATGAACATCAATAATAAAATATAATTACAAAGACTATGAACAAATTAAAAGTAATAAAAAAGGGGAAAAAAAAGGGCTGGGCAGCCATTTGCTGTTGCAACAGTAGAGGAGCAAATTTACTATTTTACTATAGTAGTTGCAACAGTTTGCTGCTTGGAATTGATGTTCTGTTGAAACGTTGGAGTATTCACGTAGCAAAATTACACACCAAATTGGTGTTTCGCTTCGACGTTGTGGATAGTCTAAGTAAACACCTATTAATTTATAACTCTAAGTGACACAATTGATACTCCATTAGTTCTCCTTCAATTCATGTTAAAAAAAAATCATAATAGCCAGGACAAAGAGGATGGAAAAATTGGCAGTTTTACCCAAAATTTTGAGATAATGTTCATGTTATCCAAAAAAAATTTTATTAGTCAATTTTATCCTTATTATTTCATTCTTTAGCCAATTTATCCAATCGACACAAATTCTGTCATATCTTACGGATTTCCGTTCGTTTCATTAATAAAATAAAAAAATTAATTGCAAAAACTCTCTTATAGTTTCAAAATTAAAAAACTACCACAAAAATAAGTAAAAATAACAAATAAATCCCTTGCTTCTTCTTCTTCTTATTCTTTTTCTTCTTTTTCCTTTTTTTTTTTTTTTTTGGCTAAGTTAATACCTTTCTCTTTTAGTATTATTTTAGAACCATAAAAATATAATAATAGAGAACATGTGTCAGATTGGGGAAGAAGAAAAATAAGATTAGATTTATTTATTTATTTAATTTTTTTTTTATGGGATCGTCAATTTCTTTCATTTCTCTTCTATTATTTTCCCAGAACTATAACAATATATTGTAAAATATTCAATGAGACATTTATTTAGTTTATTAAACTCTATTGTAAAAATTAAGTCATGCATATTTCTAAAAAATATTTTTCTTATCTATTTTTATCATTGTCTAAAAAATAATAGTATTTTATTCAAACTATAATTCCTCATAAAACTAAAATATATGGTTTGAATGATGAAATAATTTATTAATGAATTTTAGTGTGTTATAATTAAACTCAAGAGACTATCGAGTTTGTCAATATTAATTTACCAGCAATTAAAATAAATGTAAATAGTTAAAATCTAAAAAAAATCTCTAGCCTTAATTTCATCTTCTCCAATTCAATACATACCACAAAGACCTGTCAATATAGCATAAACCTTCATAAGTTCAATAATTTATAAATCAATAATTTTGGACAATAGTAATTCTTCTTAAAAAATGCGTTGTCAATAAAAACTTTTAATAATTAGCCCATATGGGAAAAATAATATTTACTAAATAAAAATATTTAAATGTTGATGCTTGTTTTTATTGAAACTTATGGTTATATAAGCTTGCATTTGAAATTGAAAAATCAAAAAACAATTTTAACTGTTAAACCAAAATTGAAAATAAAAT